ACCATTGGAGGAGGAAAACTATTTTTGGATTAGAACTTAAATTTTTTGAGCTAAAAATTTAGGTTTACACTAAGGGGAAGGGTGGACTTAGCCTCACAATGGGTTAGCAATAATATGGTTCAATTTCGCTTTTGGCAATAATCTAACCTAAGACATCTCACTTACAAGTGAAGAGAAATACCACTAGACTGTAATATAAGTGACAACAACTAATTATTTAACTCACTAACACTATCGTTTGTCGAAAAAAAAAAGGAAAAAAGAGAAGACAATTATGCTTTAGAAATTCTAAGGATTTTGAAGTGGAAAAAATCATACTAAGAAATAAGATGGTTGTTATCTCTCTCTTTCATCTTTATCTGATTTTATTTGATCTTTTTTTTTTTTGGTTTTTTTTTTTTCTTTTAAAAGGATTCATATGATATGTGACGACAATCATATGTGACGACAATCATATTTAGAAGAAGGGCTGGTTTGATGACAAGTAACTGGAATATATTGATTAACTCATAAAATTCAAGATATGTTTAGATAAGAAATTAAGACAAGAATTGCAGCACGGTGATAGAAACGGTCATTTAAAAGGCACAATTCCGTTGAAAAAGTTTTAAATTCCGAGGCCCTTGAGGCTGGAAACGATCTGTTGCATGGTGAAGGAGTCTTTCCGAATCTAACAGACAAAGGAGAGAGCTTTGGACAATGTAGTTATGAAAATAATGAGGAGGAACTCAGGGTCGGCCGTGAGCATTTAGGGGTCTTAGGCGAGCCTTCGAAGTGGGGCCCTAAACTTCTCTGATCTCTGGTTCTTTGTATATTGATTTGTATAAAAAAAAAATTCTCTAAATGCAAAAAAAGTTCTATTTTCACATCAAATATAATTAAAAATTAATATCAAAAGAAAATAAATATACAAACATTACACAATTCACATTTTTAGACATAAATGTACTAAATGTTTGCAATCAAGAGTCTAAGATTGAGAGTGGAGAACAATAAAACTTGATGATCAAGAGAGTAAATAACAATAAAACTTGATTGACGAGTATAATAAATTCAACGCCAATTGTTTTATTTGTGTTTTTTTTTCCCTTCTAAAATTAACTTCACACTAATGAATCGAATATTAAAATAATCCATTGAATAAAAAGTTATTGAAAAGAAAAATAGAAATTCAAAATTTTGATTACCTTAAAGTACAATCTTTAAGACCATATGATAGTTGATTTAAACATTCAATAGAAATGGAGAGAATTGGAAGTTGGTTTAAAGACTTGAGTTTTATAACTTTATATGTATTTGGACAAATGTATTGGGAGTTGGACATATGGATTGGCAGTAAATTTGAAAAACAAGAAAAATCTAGTGACTGAAAGGCACCTTCATGTTTTGAACTCAACACCCCAAAGAAAAATGAAGCCACAACATTTCCACTGCACTATCAAATGAATCATGATATTTTTTTTTTTTACTTGTTTTTTTGTATTTATATGTTAATTACAGGATATAAAATTTTTTTAGGAGCCCTTTCGAAATGGGAGCCCTAGGCGGGCGCCTACTTGGGCTACTCTCAGGGCTAGCGCTGGAGGAACTGCATCCTCTGCCTCCCTTTTTCTATTTTCCCCTTCATGCAATGTCATGCCATTATTCACCTTTTACAAATTTAGTTAATAAAAATTGAAATTAAGTAAAAGGGGAAAAGAAAAAAAGGAAAATATGACACCTATTTTAGCTATCAATAAATTTCTCAAGTATTTTTGAGTCATCTATTCTGTTGTGAGTCAAATATAATATCAGATAAATCTGCTTCAATAAAATATACTCTTAACCAGTCTTTTGTCTGGTTTAAAAATGTGTCTACTTCTATTGTTACTCCAAATACAATTTGTCCCTAAGTTCAGATCCAACGATCTTCTTTATAATGCTAAACCCTAAAGAAAAACATTTTTTAGCAAATTTATCTATTTTCCCTTTCATGTAATGTCGTGCCATTAAATCCTTTGCCTCCCTTTGTCTATTTTCCCTTTCGTGTAATGTCGTGCCATTATTCACATTTTATAAATTTAGTTAATAAAAACTGAAATTAAATAAAAAGGAGAAAAAATAAAATAAAAATCTTACACCTGTTTTAGCTGTAAGTAAATTTCTCAAGTATCTTTGAGTCATCTATTGTGAGTCAAATATAATATCAGATATGTCTGCTTCAGTAAGACATACTCTTAACCAGTCTTCTGTCTGGTTTAAAAATGTGCCTACTTCTATTGTTAATCCAAATACAATTTGTCTCTAAGTTCAGATCCGACGTTGATCTTCTTTATAATGCTAAACCCTAAAGAAAAACATTTTTTAGCAAATTTATGTTGATATCTCATCACTTCACCTTGAAATATTGTTGCCATTTTAATCTTTTTCAATCTGTCATTTCAAGTTGGATTGGAGCAATGACTGAATGAGATAATTCAAGCAAAATGCTTGGCATTCAAGTCTCTCAAATTTTGTATTAACTGTGCATGAAATCGTTAACTAAGGTGCATGAAATCGCATCCGGTTTCAATACTAGTTATCATTCGATGATTCAAAAGGTTTGCCTTGCCATCGTATAGGACGGATTTGAATCATAAAAGCAGATCGTAGTACTACAAATACAGTTTCTTCCATCTGAAAATGTGGCAGAGAAAGCAAGAAAATCGACAAACTTGTATGGATCAAATTGAATTAAAGAGCTCATATTTCACCATCCCACGGTTCTTCAACGGTTTTATAAGGACTCAAGCTCTCGTGGACTACGAAATCACCCCGTAGGAGCGTTTGCTGCATAACAGACAAGCAAGTTAATGTCAGTAGAAAGTTTTATGTGATAAAATGTGTTGAGGGATGTATCTAAGCATGTGTTATACAAACCTGGTGGAGTCCTGAAATTTTCGAGAAGAGCTCCGGTGGAATGGACCAGTCGAATAAGCTTAGATTTTCCTTGATCCTGCTTTCATTTACACTCTTTGGAAGGACACTCTGTGCACCCTGAATGTCCCAACGAAGACATCCTTGCACGGTTGACTACTTGAGTTTCTCGGCAATTTCATTTAGTACAGGATCCTTCAGAACTTCCCTCTTCACCCAAACCCCTGGAGAACCCAGAGGAGTATATGCCTGAAGGGAGAGGAAGAGTTTTCGATCAAATAATAAGCTGCTCAGTTTTCTAAAAATTAAAATGAATGGTGAACATTTGAAGTTGGTATCAGATGAATGTTGAACATTCGAAGTGGTATCAGTCCATCTCTGTGGATGATACCTCGAGAAAATCTCACTTCTACTCAATTTTCTTCAACTTTGACCATTTTTAGACATTTGTTTTGGTGTAGAATTATCATTAGAGCTTAGACATTAGATTTCCAGTCTCGGAAAACTTGACTGTTTCGATTTTTGGTTTAAGTATCACATTTTTGGCTCTAAGGCTTTAAAGAACCATTATATACCCTAAATCATTAAGTTATCAACCCAATCAATAAATGAGATCAAAATTGATGATATTGATTAAAACTGAGGGAGGACATCCTGCGCAGAAAATTTCTCAAGTTGGCATATAGAATTTACCGATGGATGAATCCCAGCAGATTTTCGCAAATTATAAAGAGCCGGTTGTTGCCATATAGGGTGGCACTCCACTTGATTTACATAAGAAAGGAGGTCCTGCAGCTTCTTAGACGAGAAGTTGCTCACCCCGACTGCTCGCACCTGACCAGATGCGTACAGGCCCTCCATTGCATTCTAAGTCTCTAGAAGGCACAATGAAGCCATGACTTCCTGAGTGAGACCTAATGAGCCCGGCTTTGTACGAAATGGCAGTGTATCTGCAGAAGAATGTTCACCATAACCATTTAAAATTCTTCGTTATTGGAATTCCAAATTCAGGAAGAAAATGTTAGTCTAGCAAAATGTTGAGGTTGCTTATATAAAGTACTTGTTGCATACAAGATATAGATTAATATAATCAAGCTGCAGATCTTCTAAAGTCTTGCTCAGTGCCTTGGAGATATCTTCTGAGGAACGGTCGCTGCACCTGTAGATGTCACACAGACGGAAAAAACATTATTAAGTTTTCAACAAGGCCTTGTTTGGCGTCAAGATTATAAGTTTTTGCGAATAACATAATTTTGATTGTTCCAAGTTCTTCGTCAGTCAGAGATACGACGAATTAAAAGAAAGAGAATGAACACATACCATAGCTTATATGGAGAATGAACCTTGACTGCCGCGATGACAGCTCGACTGACCGAGCCCGGTTCAGCCTTCCATGTCCAAGACCAATATGGAATCTTAGCTCCCGGATTCAGATCAAAATACAAGGTTTCCGATTTGTTTTCGCCCATAATCTACGCACTGAACATGCAATCAGAACTGAGATGAAACCTACAGTAACATAGTCCAATCATATTATTTAAACTTTGAATATGAATTTCAGACACCAGGTGGGTGATGAACTGAAGAAAAGACATTAGCTATTTGGATCGAACGTCGGGAAAAATGACAGAGATGCAAGATTTCGGAGGCAACTCACCTGTGCTTTCTATGTCCAAAAGTTTTTCTTGGAAGATGATGCATGAGCTATGTGTTGGACAGATTTTGATGGCAAAAAATTATGATCAATCATTACTCCCTAACCGTAAAACTAAGAAAACTAAGAAAAATGACTTCAAATTAGAAGAAAAATGCGGTCTAGGTGACGCACAGACCGATTACAAAGAGTCAATTTGGTTCTTCTGTGTCCTTGAATATTAATGCGGACACGCCAATTTGCTACTCGGCCAAACATGTGTCGTACAATACCGTTAGTATTATACGAGTACATTATGTTGTCTTCGGTCACAGTAGGTTGAGGGCAAGGTAGAGGAAGGCAAGAGTTGAGAGCTTTGGTAATTTTGTTGCCAAGTAATGCGAACACTGAGCAGTAACAGCCTGGAGAAACACCTTCAGGAAGCACTTTCAAGTGCTTTTACAACGGTATCAAAACCAAAAGCACTTATAATCATTCTAAACAACTTCCAAACAGGCACTTCAAAATACCATCCAGTTAATACGGAACTGTAGTTGATCCAGGTAATACGTTACAATTCTTAATAGGTATCGAAATACCATCCACGCTGATTAACTAGTTAACAATATTTGACCTAGTTCTAATCTTCTCAATCTACTATACTTAACTATTTATTTAACTAACGGTATCAATAAGAGGTTCTCAAACTGATACAGCTCCAGGAAACAGCTCCATTTCTTTTCGTTTACTGCTGAACAACACGCTTGACGTTCTTCAACCACATCAGGAACTCTTTGTTGTTTTTGTTCCTCATGTAATCATACAAGAATTCAGCCATGGTGTGCTTGATCCCTCGAACCTCGAGATACTTGTAGAAAGCATTCTGCAACTTCTCATCCAAGTCGCTGAGGGAAAAGGAAAAAAAAACAGAGCACATCAGAACAGAATGAAACCATCATCAGAATCTACGCAATGCAAACAAAAGGTATGATCCACTGAGACAAAGCTTACGGAAATTCAGGTCCATCATAAGCATAATCAAGCTCTTTGGAAGAAAGCTCAGGCTGCTTGACGGACAAGCTATCGATTGAAATCTCAGTTTCAAAGACAGAAACACCAAGCTCCAGTTGCAGTCCATTTGGTTTGGAAATGCTCACAACCATCGGAATCCCGGGGTCTTCCCACTCGTCCTCATCATCTGTGGTAAAACTAGGAATATCGACACATACTTGGATGGATTCGCCTTCAAATTCTCTTTTGAGCAGAATGGTTTGGTCTCCAGGATTGTCCACTATTTCAAAAGGAAACTTCTCTGGGACCTCCTAAAGTGTGAAGATCATACAAATAAAAAAAAATTACCCAACATTCAATAACTAAAAAAATTTAGAGCCCGTTTGGTATTCAATCCAAATACAGTTATAACTCAAAAACAAGTTATGAGTTTTGAGTTTCAAACTCAAATTCATGTTTGGTTGGCCTGTTTTTCAAAACTGAATTTAAGAATAACTTAAAAAGAATGCCTAACTACCTCCAAAAACTCTATAGCCCGACTCTCACCCTCTACTCACTCATCTCTCTTTGTGATCTTCGCTGCCAGCGTCGATTTGGGTCCACCGCCGGCGTCGATTCGACTCCGCCGTAGCTCCATTTAGTTTGCCGGTGGGGAAGGTAGTTGCCAATGAGATCCTAACTTACTTCCCTGACCAAAGACTGGGACTTTCCTAATTTTAAGATCTAAAACAGTTTCTGAGTTCAATACCATACAAATTTTTGGATTTAAATAAAATAAAAAATAAAAACCTGTTTTCAAGAGATGTTCTTTTAAGTTGTTTTTAACCAAACGAAAAAAGAACGCAACTTCAAAGTAAAAAACAGCAATTTTGATACGCTTACGGCTTTTCTGGGTTTCACGTCTAGGGCACACTTGATCTCGGACTCAAGGACTTCGACCAGACTTTGTTCGCCGATCGGCTCCACGGCGGTGGCCGTGGCCGTGGCCGTGGAGAATCGATGAACTGGAACAAAGCTTCTCCGGAGGAGCTGTGGGCTGAAAGCAGGGATGGTGGAGATCGAGCGGTGAAAGGTGGGTGCAGATCCGACGGCGCGGATGGAGCGGACGGCGAGGGCTAGGGCGGAGTAGGACGGCCTGCGGAGCATCGAGAAGAGAGCCATTTGAGGTCCGGCTAGCACTGAAAATTCAGTTGGTTTAGGGTTTTGCAATTTCAGCAGGGTTTTGTCTTTTTGCTTGGGGTTTTAGGAAGATGCAATATGTAATGTAGTACTGGGCTATGGGCCTATGGCTTTGGAATCGGAATTGTAAAAGAGAAGACGTGGGCTTCAACGTATTAAATTAGAGCGGTGTGTTTATCATTAAGCACTTAAATTTAAATTACTTTTATGACGTTTAGATTAGTTTAACGTATAATTTTTTTTTGTATGAAAAATATAGAGTAGTGTTATCTACACATTTATTTTTACTTACCACACCTTTTTTGTTAATTTTTGTCTTTTGATATTTTTCAATTCATTTAATCCGACGACTGAAAATTAAAAGTGTGTGGAAGGTAAAAAGGATGTGTGGATAGCACCATCCAAACGAAGATTTTATTAGGCAACAAGATTTTGGTCGTCAGACATTAGTTAATAGGAGCCAAATTTGAACAACCAAAAATCCTAGTGTATATATTACACAGGAGCATACCGAAAAATTCAATGTAAAAGAGCCCATATGTAAACATAAGCTTGAGCTCACCCCAAGTATTATTCTTGAACAATAGCCTTTGCAACCGGTTCTGTTTGTGTATATTTGGCGAAACTCATTTCGCTACATTCATACAGGCCGGAAAAAATCCAAACTCTTTACTTTGAAGAAACTGAAAAATTGCTTCAAGATTGTCTTCCATTGAAGCACTCATCCGGACTTCTAAATTTCTCCGTCCCACAATTCCTCAAGCGTCCTGTAGGCCCCATACGTATCATGAACAAATTGAGTCCCTCTAACCAATCTTGCCTGCATAGTTGAACATCAAAGCAAAACTTAGGAATTAGGTGTAAAGACAATCAGGACACTTCCGGAGCCCTGAAAACAAAACGAGCTCGAAGAATAATGCAAATGGAAGAACAGAAGTTGGATATTTTAAGGTGGAATGTGTTTCTTGCTTTAGACCTAGATGATGAAATAAGATCTTGGCAAGGATAACCATAGCAAAGCGAATAGAAAACCGACTACAGTAACTACTAGCCTGCTGAATCTCAGAAAGCTTGGTGAACAAGTCCTCCGGGATAGACCAGCCAAAGACATTGAAGTTCTCCTTGATCCTTGTTTCATTAGTACTCTTAGGAAGAACACTGTGCCCCATTTGCAGTCCCCACCGAAGAGCCACTTGTGCAGGAGTTTTGCCTAGTTTTTCTGCGACCATGAGAAGAATTGGATTCTGAAGGACGTCACCTTTAATCCATGATGTGCCCGGAGAACCCAGTGGTGAGTATCCCTGAAAGAAAAGTATGCAGTTACTTCAATTTTCGAGCTAACTTGCTGACTATGTAAATTAAATTCTTGCCCAATTATATAGGTAACTCCCTCAAGAAATGTCAACGAAATAAGAAATTTGGCATTGAAATGTCATTCAATATTTGCATACTCACCTGTAAATGAACTCCCCTGGATTTACAGAAAGAATGTAGCTTGCCTTGCTGCCACGAAGGATGACACTCCACTTGGACAGCAGCTGGAGGAATATGTGCCACATCCAGCAAATCTGACAGTTTCTTCGTAGAGAAATTGCTCACGCCAATAGCTCGAGCCTTACCCAAATCGTAGAGGGTTTCCATTGCTCTCCAAGTGCAAGGGATATCTGGTTGAACCAGGTTTTCAGGATCAAAACTTGCTGACCCCCTCTTCAACCGGACTGGCCAATGCATCTTCAAATTTTCAGCAGGTCATTAGTTACAGCTGAGTAATGGCCACAAAGGTATAACAAATTCAACACAATAATGCTAATTATCTATAATTTTTCCCCGCTATCTTATACCTAGATACAGGCAACATAACCAGACTGAAAAAGATAATTTTGGAAGTAATTTCGATCTTTCAAACAAATTCAAAGATGGCAGGCAAACAAATGGAAATTGTAGTCTTTTAAAGAAGCATCGGTTCCAATCAGTATTACACCTTCAATTTGGCATTGACTTGCGCCGAGCTTAACAGAAATAACTAGAGAATACGCTTTGAACAGGTAACACTTACCAGATACAAGTCAACATAATCAAGCTGCAAGTCTCTCAAAGTCCTGTCCATTGCCGCTAATACATCTTCTGGTGCATGATCTGTACACCTGCAGACCATCTAGTTTTTTAGAAACTACGAAATTAAGCAGACACTAAGGGTTAGATAATGCCAAATCATAACTGAACAATACAATTTATAACTCATTGTATCTCCTTGTCAGCGAAATTAGCATTAAAAATTGAAACAAACCAGAGTTTGGAGGTAATAAACAAATCCTCGCGCTTCACCACGCCATCTTCAAACAACTTCTTCAGAACCAAACCAATCTACAAGAAATAAAAACTACATATTTGTCACATTCAAATCGCCAGAATAAAACATTAATAATCCAAACTAGAATCGAATACGCAAGCCAATGACCACTTAGCAGATTATGAGTTCGAATATCATGGATGACGATTGTTGATTAATAAAAAAAAAATTGAAAATGCGAGTCATAAGGATACCGGCATATAATCAAACTTACAAAGGTGAATGCAATCAATTAGGTTAGGGAAAGTTTACGTTTTGGTTGAAGCAATTTTAGAAATGAACAAAAACATAAAATAATTAATGGAAATTAACTAAAAAATTAATGTAATAATTTAGCCAAATTCAACTCAAATGACCTCCTTCTCATTGCCATAGCGTTGAGCACAATCGATATGGCGATATCCTGCCTGTAATTTGTTAGAAAAGTCACATTTTGTTAGTGAGATCGAAAAATGATAAGTTCACCAAATCAAAGGTCGAGATTGATCAAAACTGAAAGCGGGGAAAGAGGAAGACCTTGATGGCCGCGGCCACGGCGTCTCCGACGAGGCCAGGGCTCGACTGCCAGGTCCCTAACCCTACTGAGGGGATCTTAGATCCGTTATTCAACTGGAAGAAACGAATATCGTCCGCCATTTCTCGATTTCTCAGAAGATCGAGTGATGTGGAATGGAGCAGTGAACAGTAACTTGGCGCTCTGTTTATTTTTTTTTTGGGGAGGTGGGACGTGGGAATTGGAATTAAACGAAATCCGATTTTGGTTTCTTTCTTTTTTTTTTTTTTTTTGGATGGATCGTAGGGAACAAAATTTTATTGCAACACTAATTCACATAACAAGGGCCCACAAACAAATATAAACAGAACAAAAAGGGGCCGCCCAAGCTAACATAAAAAAGCCCAACCAAATGGCCGAAGTTTGATACGGAGCAAAGAACGTTCCAAATTCCTACCACCGCCGCAATAGTTCTTCCCGATCAACCCAATTTGATTTCCACAATAGACGCCGCAATTCCAACCAAGCAGCACTGGAGATGAAATGAAGTAATACCCCATCGCCTAGCCACAAGCGCCGCACCGATCTCAGCCAGAAATTGATAGAAGTCCGTAGGATTACCACGAACAACACTGTCAACAAAAGCATACAGAGAGAAGGAGGTGTGTTGTAAACACTCGAAGCCGGTGTGACCACCGAACTTTACACACCGTAAATCGAAAGATCGCATCAAAATGCGTTGAAAGCTGACAATAAACCGGGTCGAAAGTGGTCGAAGAAGATGGACGCCCATGAGGTTTAAAGGATAGGGTAAATCAAGAAGGATAGATGGGGGAAAAGGTAGCAAAAGGAGGGATAGGAAAAAATAGAAAGAAAAAGGACAAATTTTCCACCGACCACTACCACGGCGAGGGTCGACGGTGACGAAATGTACAAACGGGAAGCTATTGGTGGTTTGGTCGAAGGAAAATTTTGAAATCCAATTTTTCCCCAATCCCTTTTTTAATTGAAAACTACCTCTTGCCACATATTTGGCAATTGCCATTTTTTTAATTGTTTTTAAAAAATAATATTTTGAAAAATAATCAACGTAACAATCTTCACTCTCATTACGTGACTTTCTTTTGAAAAGTGATATTCACACTCATTTTTACTTCTAACAAACTTTGTTAATTTTTTGTCATTGATCTTCTTCAATTCATTCGATCAGATGGTCGAAAATTAAGTTTCACTTTCTCCCTTTATATATAGATTTAAATTTATACTTTTTTTAAGTATTTTTTTATTAAAATATTCTTTAAAAAATAATGAACGTAACCCCTCACATACGTGATTTTTTTAATCTCTAGTAATTAATGAAACTTTTTTTGTCAATCAAAAGATGGTGAAAAGACAAATTAGTTTTCTATCACACAAAAAAAAATGATGGGTAATAATGTAATTTCACAGGTCTAAATTTTACTGTTTTTTATTGAAGTCTCACCTACCAGTGGTGTTAAAATACCTCCAATATAAAAAAATAAAAAAAAACCTCCCACAACCCCACCCCCATCCTCATTTTCTAAAAAGATGTGTTCATACACACAAAATGTATAGGCAAATGATAGTCTTAATGGAAGAAGGGGAATTTAGATATTATGAAATCTTCAAATTGTTTACCTTCTCCCTTTATATATACATATATATAGACTAAGCTTAGCTATGTATGTAGTCCACCAAATAATTAAGAAAAATCACCCACCAGTACAGAAAATAGGGAAATTGTAATCATATATTGACGATATAACTATCAGTTACGGAAGACTAAAAAACTCTTGAAAAACTGATCATTTTGGTCAATTTCTCAACTCTCAATGGATGGTGTGATAACAATGTATGAACATTCGATCTAAAATCAATTGGTTGTGAGATACTCAACAAAATCCAAAAACTAACAAAATAATTACCAAACATAGATACCGTCAAGCCAATGCTGAGCAATAGGCAATCAAGACAAGCAAAATGCTGAAAGTTGCAAGTAGCGTAATCAAGCTAATCGTTATTTAGGACATAAACGGTCACACTAATCATAACTATTACATAAAAAATGCTCCCAGAATCTCTTCCACGAAAGCATTCATGATTCATCGGCCTCTCTAGAATCTAGATTTCACCGTCCCATAATTCCTCTAAACTCCTGTAGGGGCCAAAAGTATCGTGAACATATGTGGACCCTCTGATCAGTCTTGCCTGCATAATTTGGAAATCAATGTAGTTAGTTAGGAGAAAACACTACATAGCAATTATCAGTGCATGATTCGCTCGGGATACCGCAATAATGGCATCCTCCTTGAAGGTTGGTTAGGGTACTGACAGCAGCGAGAATAGAGAATCAATTCCGGTGACAACTTACCTGCTCAATTTCAGAAAACTTGGCGAACAAGTCATCTGGGATGGACCAGCCAAACAAATCAAGGTTCTCCTTGATCCTCGCTTCATTAGTACTCTTGGGAAGAACACTATGACCCTTTTGCAGCCCCCAACGAAGAGCAACTTGTGCAGGAGTTTTGCCTAATTTCTCAGCGACTGTCACAAGAATCGGATTCTTAAGGACTTCACTTTTGATCCATGTTGTTCCAGGAGAGCCCAGTGGGGAATATCCCTGAGAGCAAAAATATATGATATCTCCCATTTAAACATGCCAAAGTTCAATTAGATAAACAATTACCCAAGTACACACAGCTATGTCGTAACCACTCAAGACACAGACAATGCAATTCGGTATTTGCATACTCACAGAAAGGTGAACTCCCTTGGATTTACAGAAAGAATGTAGCTTGTCCTGCTGCCACGAAGGATGGCACTCCACTTGGTCGACAGCAGGAGGAACACGTGCGACGTCCAGCAAATCTGACAGCTTTTTTGTGGAGAAATTGCTCACACCAATAGCTCGAGCCTTCCCCGAATCATAGAGTGTTTCCATTGCTCTCCAAGTTGCAGGGACATCAGGGTCAATAACGTTTTCAGGCTTAAAACCTACTGATCCCTTCTTCATCCGGACTGGCCAGTGCATCTTCAAAATTTTCAGCAGGTTCATTAGTTACAGCTTAATAACAACAACAAAATGCCACAATGAATTCAAGATGAGGTTAATTATCTGTGATTTTATCCTGATAAGATATAGCAAAATGCAGGTAACATAGCCAGACTCGGAAGGAATATTGGCATTTGAAGGTTAACTTATAAGATCATAGTACGGAAAATAGATGACCAGTCCACTCCTTCAAAAGACCTCCGCTCTAAGTAAATTTTAAAACAAAATGCGTACAATTCATATCAAACTCTAACAGGCATGACTCGAGAGCAAGATCTAAACAGGTAATACGTACAAGGTACAAGTCAACATAATCCAGTTGCAAGTCTCTTAGAGTCCTGTCCAATGCCTCTAGTACATCTTCTGGAGCATGATCAGTATTCCTGTGGACAAACAACCGAAACAGTCATTCCATTTCGGGTTGGTTTGGTATTGTTGTGCTTGAAAAAAAAAAAACAGTATTATAGTATTTGGTAAATCTTTATGTAAAACAGCTGTGACTGTGAAATGACCAAAAATGGTATAATACTAGACGTGCCATTAATTTAATTTTCTTAACAAATAAAGGTGAATTACTAAATATATTTTATTTTTAAAAGAAAATTATTTATAAAATTTATCTTAAACATATAATCTAACGTTTAACAAGAAATTATAACCCAACATTTAACAAGAAATCATAATCCAACATTTAACATATAATCCAACTTTTATGCTGCTTCACATTTTTAGCTTTTTTTTTCAAAGCTCATTTGTGCTGCTTCACGTTTTCAGCTTTTTTTTCATCCAAAACTGTGAAAATAAGTTGTTTTTAAGTGTTTACCAAACACCTTTTTAAGTTCAATTTTTTTTAATACCCACTTTTTATAAAAGAACCTCAGTATCAAACCAGTACTTCATCACGCTCTCATGGAAATTCCTCGAGATCTAGTACTCAGTTAAATTAGCATTAAACAAACCAGAGTTTGGAGGTAATCCACAAATCCTCGCGCTTCACCACACCATCTTCAAACAGTTTCTTCAGCACCAAACCAATCTGCAGGAAATAAGAACATGTTGGTCAAGCCAAATTCTGGTAACCACTCCAACATCTTCAAAGAATGAGTCTAACATGAATAATTTCAACTTTTAACTGGACTTGAATATCTAGAAATGCCCGTAAAGTAACTAAATTTAAGAGGTAATGCAAGGCAATTAATCCGCTCAGGAAAAAAAAAAACTTATACAGTTCCTTGGAGCAATTTTCTTAACATGATTAAACACATAAAGACGAATGCCGCTCCTTAATGAAAACTGCAACAAATGTTTGGAGCTTGTTTGATAACAATTTCATTTTTAATTCCTTGTCTTCTTTTTAATACTGTTACAGATAGATCCGTCCTTCATTTTTCTCAACTCTTTTCCGCATGGCGCATGTATTTTCTCTCTATCTCTACTTAAAAAATCGTGAAGTAAAAACTAAAAACGAAATAGTTAACAAACGAGGAATTCGTTTAGTAAAAACAGTTGCAATTACCTCCTCCTCATTGCCGTAGATTTGAGCACAATCAATATGCCGATACCCTGCCTGAAATTATTAAAACCACAAATTCATTTATCTTCCACAAACGTTCGAATTTTCAGTTAGAAAAACACAAAATAATGAGTAAAGCAATGGAAAGAAAGTACCTTGATGGCGGCGTGGACTGCGTCGCCGACAAGGCCAGGGCTTGCCTGCCAGGTCCCCAACCCTATCGACGGGATCTTAGCGCCGGTGTTCAGCTCGAAGAAGCGAATGTCGTCCGCCATTTCTCCGGTGCGAGAGTGTGAAATGTAGAGAGAGAGAGATCTAGATGAAAAGCGACTTCAAGCTCTTACATAAAAGCTCGTTGTTTGGATGCACTCAATAAATGATTGAAAGCGGTAAAAATGTTTTAGGAATTAATTTTTAATAAAAATAAGTAAATTTAAAATAAAAAATTTAAAGTGTTTTTTTTTAAAAGAAGCACAAGCTATGTATTTCTTTTAAAAAGTACTTTAAATGCTTTTGAAATAAAAAAAATATTTTATCTGAAAACTTTAATTTTAAAAACACATACAAACGTGCTCTGAAGACGGACAGAAAAGAATCGGATACGTCATCGTTTACGACCGTTTGACAAGGCACTGTTACTTTTTCCGTTTTCCGGAAGAATGTGGTTAGTGCTCTGCTGGTCCTGGTATCAGATGGCACCGCGATATCTGAGCCGTTGATATGGGATATGACACTTTTGGTAGCAGTAGATTTTGCGTAGCGAAAGCCAGTCATCGTGGGGCTAAGGGTAAGACACGTGGTGGAGTTATCAACAAGCTATTTCTTTGCGTTTTATTCAAGACCTCAAAAAGGACGTCCATCTTTTCCTAGGAGTCTCTACAATTGGAATTGGAAGGGAAAGGATGCATGGTGAATTTTCGAGGTGTGTCGAAGTCAAACTAGTCTTTTCCCAAACTAAATAGCTGAAATCTTTGTCGTTGATGGTGTGTTTACTTTAATTCATTGCGTTTTGAATTTGAATATTTATTTATTTGTGATATTCTCTAATTTTAAAGAGAAATTTTTATGGAACGCACTTTTATTTATAATTTTATGAGTAGTTAATACAAAACTATGTGTAAAACATTTTTTTATATAGCGTTGTACTAGTGATCTTGAATGTCACGGTTGAAGAACTGATTTCACCTAAATCTTCTATTAATTTGGTATATTAAGATAAAATACTAGATTTTATTTACATGTAAAAGACTTTCTTCTTTACAAACGAATCATTACTCGACATGTGTGTGTAACTTTTTGTTAACAAATAACTTCTTACGTGTAAGGACTAAAACGGTTAAACAACGCTCACACAAAAATAGTTCGACAATACTGTGATTGAGATATATGCATATTGTAGCAGAACATTTTAATAGGAACCAACTTTTGGTAAATGATACTTATCTTTTTAATGTTTGTAGACGTTCACAATCTACATTATTCTCTAATGTTACATTCTTATTACGTTACATATCACAATCTACATTATTCTTTAATATTACATTACTATTACATTTCATGTAGCAGACCACTTAAAGATTCATCAGTCTTTCTAGAATCTATATTTCACCGTCCCAGAATTCCTCTAAACTCCTGTACGGACCAGAAGTATGATGAACAGGTGAGAGCCATCTGATCAGTCTTGCCTGCATAATTTGAAATCAATGTAGTTAGTTGGGAGAAAAGACTAGATAGAAATTATTAGTGCATGATTCGCTCGGGATAACGCAACAACTGGCATCCTCTCCGTAGGTAAGTTAGGGGCACTAATAGCAGTGAGAATAGAGAAGAATCAATTCCAGTGACGACTTACCTGCTCAATTTCAGAAAACTTGGCGAACAAGTCATCTGGGATAGACCAACCAAACACATCAAGGTTCTCCTTGATCCTCGCTTCATTGGTACTCTTGGGAAGAACACTATGACCCTTTTGCAGTCCCCAACGAAGAGCAACTTGTGCCGGAGTTTTGCCTAATTTCTCAGCGACTGTCACAAGAATCGGATTATTAAGGACGTCACCTTTGATCCATGTTGTTCCAGGAGAGCCCAGTGGTGAATATCCCTGAAAGCAAAATATATGATTATCTCCCATTTGAACATGCCAAGCAAATTAAATAAAACTATTACGCAATTATAGACAGGTATGTTGTAACTACTCAAGACAGACAATGCGATTCAGTATTTGCATACTCACAGAAAGGTGAACTCCCTTGGATTTACAGAAAGAACGTAGCTTGTCCTGCTGCCACGAAGGATGGCACTCCACTTGGTCGACAGCAGGAGGAACACGTGCAATATCCAGCAAATCTGACAGCTTTTTTGTGGAGAAATTGCTTACACCAATAGCTCGAGCCTTTCCCGAATCATAGAGTGTTTCCATTGCTCTCCAAGTCGCAGGGATATCAGGGTCAATAAAGTTTTCAAGGTTAAAACTTGCTGATGACCCCTTCTTCATCCGGATTGGCCAGTGTATCTTCAAAATTTTCAGCAGGTTCATCAGTTACAGCATAATAATGTCCACAGAATACCACAACGAATTTAAGATGATGAGGTTGATTATATATGATTTTAACCTGATAATGTATAGGCAAAATGCAGGTAACATAGCCAGACTCAGAAGGAATCAATGCATTTGAAGGTAACTTATAAGATCATACTACAGAAAACAGGCTACCATTCCATTCCTTCAAAAGGACCTCTGCACTAACTAAATTATAAAACAAAATGAAGGTAACTTATAAGATCACACTACGGAAAACAGGCTACCATTCCATTCCTTCAAAAGGACCTCGGCACTAACTAAATTATAAAACAAAATGTGTACAATTTAGTATCAGACTCTAACAGGCATGACTCGAGAGCAAGATCTAGACAGGTAATACGTACAAGGTACAAGTCAACATAATCCAGTTGCAAGTCTCTCAGAGTCCTGTCCAATGCCTCTGGTACATCTTCTGGAGCATGATCAGTATTCCTGTGGATAAACAACCAAAGCAGTATTCATCACGCCCTCATGGAAATTCCTCAAGATCTAGTACTCAGTTAAATTAGCATTAAACAAACCAGAGTTTGGAGGTAATCCACAAATCCTCGCGCTTCACCACGCCCTCTTCAAACAGTTTCTTCAGAACCAAACCAATCTACAAGAAATAAAAACATGTTGGTTAAACCAAATTCTGGTAACCACTCAAAGAATTAGTCTAACATGAATAATTCCAACTTTTATCTGGATTTGAATGCCTAGAAATGCCCGCAAATTAATTCAATTTAAGAGGCAATGCAAGGCAATCAATCAGCTCTCAGAAAAGAAAAGAAAAAACAGTTAAAACCCTAATGTTTGCAGTTGCTGGGAGCAATTTTCTTAACATGATTAAACACATAAAGACGAATGGCGCTCCTATAACGAACCTGCAACAAATGTTCAGAGCTCGTTTGATAACAATTTCGTTTTTAGTTCTTAGTTTTCCTTATTAATTCTGTTAGATACAGATCCCTCCATCACTTTTCTCTACTCTTTTTCTTTTCTCCAGCACAAAAATCGTAATCCAAAAACTAAAAACGAAATAGTTAACAAACGAGGACTTAAATAACTAACTTAGTAAAAAGCAAGTGCAATTACCTCCTTCTCATTGCCGTAGATTTGAGCACAATCAATATGCCGATACCCCGCCTGCAATTATTAAAACCACAAATTCACTTATCTACCGCAAATGTTCGATTTTTCAGTTAGAAGAAACACAAAATGATATGAGTAAAGTAAGGGAAAGAAAAATACCTTGACGGCGGCGTGAACCGCATCGCCGACGACGCCAGGGCTGGACTGCCAGGTCCCCAACCCTATCGACGGGATCTTAGCGCCGGTGTTCAGCTCGAAGAAACGAATGTCGTCAGCCATTTCTCCGGAGCGAGAGAGTTAAGTGTATAGAGAGAGAGAGAGAGAGAGAGAGAGGCAGCGAGTGATCTCCATGGAAAGCGACTTCAAGCTCGTATATAAAGATAAAGGAGCCGGCGGGAGAGAATCCGATACGTCATCGTTTACGACTGATTGACGGAAGCCGATACGTCATCGTTTACGGCTGCTTGCCAAGAGACTACTTTCCACTTTCGGAATGTGGTAGTGTTCCACTGGTCCTGGTATCAGACGGCACAGGAAGATCTGAGCCGTTAGTATGGAATACCCCACCTTTGGTAGTGAAAGCCAGTCATCGAGTGGCCAAGGGTAAAACACGTGGCGGAGTTATCAACCAGTTATTTCTTTGCATTTTATCCAAAGTCATAAAAAAAAGGACGTCGATCTTTTTCTAGGGGACTCGACAACTGGAATGGATAAGGGATGTCTTGTGAGTTTTGGAGGGGTGTCAAAGTCAAACCAGTTTTTAATTCAATTTCATTACCCTTTAAGTTACAAAAGTTACATGTAAGACTTTATTTTATATAACTTTGTATTAGTGATTTGCGATTCTGGATAATTTAAGTTTCAGAGTGATGAGACCGACGATGATGAACTTCTTCAACAATATGGAAGACCACCAGCAAGCCAAGTCATCTTCCTCTCTATTATTTTGAAAAATTGGATACATAAAGATATGGATTTTAGTATGTGTTTTTGCAATCTATGATTTTTCTATGAATGATTGTTGTTTTTTCTATGTGATTTGCTGATAAATTAGACATTCTTCTATGAATGATTAATGTCCTTATTAGTCATTTTATACAGTCACATCAGTTTTATATAAAAGTTAACCAAATATTCTGACATTGTTTTTTTTTGCTATAAGCACTTTTAGCATTATAGTTTACCAAACACTTGTCTACTTTTTTTTCACAACTGTTTATTCTCACAGCACAACAATCCCAAACTAGTCCTGGTTTGGCTTTGCTTAACTTTTTTAAAAAGTGGGTATGAAAAAAAGTTGGAGCATTTTAAGTGTTTGGTAAACACTTTAAATCAGTCTTTTTTTTTTCAAAGTTATGGGTGAAAAAAAGCTGAAAACCAGAAGCTGGAAATAGCAGCTTAAACAAAACAACTATTTTGGTAAAACATGGGTGAACAGTAAAAAAAAAGAACTTTTCAATTTTCCAATCCTACCTTCTTTCTCTCTATCATCAGTTGTGCCCTCCTCTTCTACCTCTCTCTTGCAACCTTCTATGTTTCTCCAGAAAAGTGTTCTTGCAGAATCTTGAGGAACCCTACCGAAGCTCTCTCTCTTCCCTTCGCTCCTCGCATCCACAGACAACTAGTCCAAGAGGAAAAGCGAGTTGAAGGAAAAGCAACTCAACAAACTGATTGGGAAGGATGATGGGGGAGTGGCAGCAGCAGTAGTAGCAAATAATCCACCGCAGTGTCACGGTTGATGAATTGGAGAATATTTAGAATAAAATACTTGGTATTTTTACATGTTAGAAGTTTTGCTTCTTTAGAAATAGATAATTACTCGATATGTGTGCATAACTTTCTGTTTTTATATAGTCTAACGTGCGGTTAAGGAGAATAACAGATGGACTCCTTAAGTGTAAGGACTAAAGGAGTTGAACAATGGTCATACTAAAATATTCCAACAACACTGATTGAGATATATTTTATAAGCTGCGAATATACTTGATTATGCAATTCCCAACTAGCTTCATTCAAGTTCAGAAAAAGTATATAATTATAGTTTAATATCAGTTGTCCCTCTTTTATTAAAAAAAAAGGAAAAAGAAGAAGAAGAGATATGTTTGTTAAAGCAGAAAATTTAATATGAATCAACATTTGGTAAATGACACTTGTCCTTATAATGTTTGAAGACGTCTCAAATTCTTTTGAGACCCATTATTCTCATTAAAAAAATAATAATAATGAACTTCATAGCACTAATAATACAGGAGAACATAGCAAATTGTTGTTTGTGTTCAATTTTAGTGGATGTGGCTTTAATGTTATGTAGCATTTAGTGTCGTGAGTATATTATGTTTGATTTATACAATTATTTGATATTCTATTTTCAGTTTCAACTATTATTATATGTATTATCCAATGCTATGTAGCATTGAAGAAAAATTGCTGTTTTGGTCACAAAACAATCATGAATACATTCCTAATTTCCTATAGAAATGGCCAGTGTTATTTGCACCTTGATTTTCACCCCTAGGCTCCTTTTCTGCAAAAGAAGCAAACGTGACTGTGAAAGACTATGAGAGCCATTGTTAAGGCAAGGCAGAGAAATCGGACCACCACTAGTTGGTTTCTGTAACATTGTACAGAGATGAGAAAAAATGCATGTTCGGAAAGAAAATTGAACAAGCAACAGTGAACAGTTCCACCATTTCAACACCTAACAGATGCAACATTTTCGACCTTCGGCAATATCTTCACGTACAGGATAATCCTCCCCGACTTACTATACTGAAGACATTCCTAACATCAAGGTTCTGCTCATTACTCGCCGTCCCATAGTTCTTCCACGGTCCTGTATGCACCTAGAGTCTCATGCACGAAACCAGTACCTTTAATAAGCCTCTCCTGCATGATCAATCAAAAAGAACATTGAATTCAATCATCCAAAAGAAACTAAACCCCTTTTGCATACTAGAAAACCAATGTCTCTAGTTCATATTTACAAGGTCGAATAACTACGAATATGCAAATTATCATAAAGTCACAGCTTACAAGTGCCTAATCAATATGGTCATTCAAATGATACATCGAACAAACTTGACTGACAGAAGGTTGTCTTATAATGACAATCAAGTGCAAAAACTAAGACAAATAGAACGAGAAATAAGGAATGAAAAGAAGGGGGAAAGGCACTTGCCTGATTAATTTCAGAAAACTTGGCAAACAAGTCTTCAGGTATAGACCAATCGAAAATATCAAAATTTTCCCGTATCCTTTCTGGATTTGTGCTTTTAGGCACTAGACTGTGGCCCATTTGCAGCCCCCACCGAAGAGTCACTTGGGCAGTAGTCTTGCCCAATTTTTCTGCTACCAAATTCACAATAGGATTTGTAAGGACCTTGTTCCTTGCCAATGGTGCAAATCCCTGGAATAGGACAAATATATCAGTAGTTAGCCACTGCGGCAAAGATTGAGAACTAGTACATTGTGTTTTCAATGCATTCGCACAAGTTTATGTCATGGCATCAGTAGTATAACAGTAGATAACTGCTGAGGAGATATTACTACCTATAAGAACAACAAAAGACTTTATATCAGCATACTCACAGTTAAGTGAATTCCCTTGGATTTACAGAAAGCGTGCAGCTTTAGTTGCTGCCAGTGAGGGTGCAATTCCACTTGATTAACTGCAGGAGGTATTCGTGCCACCTCCAACAGATCTCCAAGCTTCTTTGAAGAGAAATTGCAGACTCCAATGGCCCTGGCCTTGCCAGAATCAAAGAGTGCCTCCATTGCTTTCCATGTACTGGGTATATTAGGTTGGGTTAGGTTGTGAGGATCAGAGCCAACTGACCCTTTCTTCATGCTCACTGGCCAGTGCACCTATACCAAAGATTTTTGTCGCATTCGATTGCAAATGAACAACTCAAATACTCTCTATGAACACATCAAAACTTAATAGGTTTGCTAGTGAAGGTCCCAAAGTCTCAGTCTCTTCAAATTCAGTCTGATTATTACATGGCATGTGATTACTTGATCATTTATTACCTCCAAAAGCAAAATAGTAAAGCAGAAATATGAAGGATCGCTTTCTGGTGACATCTTTTTGGTGCATGCAAAACTAAAAAGGGAAAGATTAAAGGTGGAGGACATACAAGACAAAGATCCAGATAGTCAAGTTGCAAGTCTTGCAAAGTCTTGTCAATTGCCTTTGGTACATCTTCTGGTTCATGATCACTGCACCTGCATTAATTGTAATCTTAACTAGAATGTGATGGTGAAGGCCATGATAATTGACAGTCAAGCAAACTAGCTTGTGAGCAGAGTATGAAATCACGCATCTAAGCGAAGGTGAAAACAAACCAGAGTTTGGAGGTGATCCATATGTCCTCACGCTTCACTACACCGTCATTAAATAGCTTTTTCAGAGCACCACCAATCTATATACATAAACCACAAAGTTTTTCAAAGTCTCAAAACAACTAGAGAAACTAAGGTAAGTCTTTAATAGTCCAGACTACTGAGAGTAGTCCGCCTTTATTACCCCATTAGATTGGTAAGTAAGAAAAAATAGTATCTCCACAATTCAATCTTGAGTGTTCAATTCCCGTACTACCTAGTAGCTAGACCATCGAAGAAAAATTGGAGAAACTAATCTACAACTAGAGAAAAAACTTGGGTACGGCCGCCTACCCAATTTCTCACCTACAACGGAAATGTCATTGTGGTTGTATCCCAAACCATTACATACTATCATGCATTTATTTTCTAGATAGCTGTGCGTAATTTGCTTGGAATACCGCCACATTGGATCCCGTTTCAGTAAGTTCTTCTCCAAAACAACAATTTCTAGAAGAAAGTACCCAACAATATAAAATGTTCCAGCAAAAAGTTGATAAGAAACAAAAGCATGAATTCTTGTGTTACCTCCTTCTCATTTCCATACAACCGAGCACAATCAATATGACGATACCCAATCTACACACACAGAGCCCACAGGAAACAACTCAAAATTCAGCTCAGACTAATCAAATTATAAGCACGTAATTTAATCTTCCTGATCAGTATTTAGAATTAGTAATGATTGAGAAACTGAGAAAACAGCAGCTGTACCTTAATTGCGGCGGTGATGACGTCGCTGACGACATGAGTATCGGCGCGATATGTGCCCAAGCCGACGGAAGGAATCTTGGCGCCGGTGTTCAACTCAAAAACCCGAATTGCGTTCGCCATTTTTAGCTTCTCTCGCTCTGTCTGTGTGCTTGCTGCGATTTGAGATTGCAACTACTAATTGTGATTAGTAGTTAGATTAATCACAGATTATCTAAAGCTTACGAACCACTGCGTTTCGGTTGGGCACGAAATGGGAGATCGTTCAGCTCGTTCAGCTTAAATTAATCTCCCGTCATGTGAAGATATTCTATTCCGGCACGGGTTTCTTTCCTAGATGGGGTGACGTTGGAGAAATTTTTCTTGGTCACGGGTTCACCTGCTTAGTTTCGAGTACCAATTATGGCACCTATTATTTATTTTTAATTAAACAACAAAAATATTATTTTTAGTTTTTTTACCATTTATTTGTACCGTCTTTATTAGAGATAAGACCCGTATATGTTGACGGGCTCTACTTTTATTCGAGAAATGGTACAAGTGATGATAAAAATAGATAATAAGTATAACATTACTTATTAAATAAAGAACCCAGATTCATCCCCGTCATCTCTTCTATTACGCCCCACCCCACTCATTCCTCCCTTTTCCCTCATCTTTATTTGTGCGTGATACTACCCAATTCTCAGTCCTTATTCAACTTGCAAGTGACATTATCAGTCCTTATTCAGCCTGTAGTAGCACATAATGATAGGGGATAAGAGGAAAGGAAGGAATATGGGTAATGCTAGTGAGACTAAATTTGCAAATTAAATAATGATGTAAGTATATTTATTTTAAGTAATAAACTAATCATCAACTTTCATGTCTTTTAGTTTGCAAAACTTTGTCTCTAAATTTAGTCTCCTAGCATTACCCTTAATACAATCCTAAATGAAGATCAACACTTCAAGTAAGAATCCCTATCCCCATCAATTAGGGATATTCTTATCATCTTTCCAAGATATTATCTCTTAATTATACCCTATTTATACCTATCACATCCCTTATCTATATACTCATCTCTACCAAATTTTGGCCACTCCTCATGGGTGCGTGAGGCTTTAGTGTTTGATTTTGATTGTTTTGTAGCTACTTTTACGTGAAGACTGAAGACAACGAAAATTATCTACTACACAGAGCTCAATATTTTTGTATTTAATTTCTCTATAAAACTGATTTGATACAAAAATCCACTTATTTTTTGCTTCATATACTAGCTCTCATACACTTTTGCCAATTGACATCTAACAAACTGCCTAAAAGAAGAATAACAACTAACTCAATTCTAATTGTGACTAAGGCAATCACAAATCACATCATTGCCCCCTCATATAAGAACAACCTTGTCTTCATGTTAGGATTAGAACTTAAAATGTGGAACTTTTTGTAGTGTATTCATCATAATCCTCTCGACTTTGGTTGTCTGATCAAACCACTGCATCAAAACTCGAACTGCTAAAACCTGGTTGATATTTGCAACCCATCCAAGATGTTGAAAAAAGAAAACAAGCTTTAGAGCAAATGACTTCTCGAGAAACTTTGATGTCTCAGCTGGAAAGAATTTCTCCCTGCCATGTGATATATGTAGATTATCTCTTATAATCGATCTTGGACCTTCCAAGCTCAATATCCTTGACCCGCAGTAACAGAACCAGAGACGGGTTCGACATGAGTCCCAAAAAGAACTGATTTGACATGTAGGTGGAAGAATCCTTGACACCAACCTTAAACTTGACATTCCCAACAGGCTTAATAATGGGTTATTCCAGAGGTTATGCATCTTTATCCATAACCAACGTCTCAACATCTTCACCGTAAACCTCTTCAATGGTCGATTAGTATTTTTTACCTATGCAAGTACAACTTGGTTATCCATATCAACATCATTGGAGGCGGTCAACCACCCATTGGAACCAGTAATTGCATCGTCATCATTCAATGCAATCTCTTCATGCCTGTTTGGAATCTCATAATCTTTGTCCTCATATCACTCTCTTTGTCAGACTTAATTTCCGGGCCTATATAGTTACCAAACTCGTTGTATAAATTGTCATCCATCTTACCAAACCTAAAATGCTTATAGGGTAGAGCTGAAAGTCGTAAGAACTGTTCGGAGTTCGGAGAAAGATAGTGTGCTTGCAAATTTGTTATTTGTGGCTCTTTTTAATCCAACTTGTTTGACAATATATAATTTAATTTGATTTATACGTAGCTGTTGATTCTAAAAACTACCAAGCTTCCGTAGCGTGCAAGTCGAGTAACTAATAAGTTAACTATGTCATTCGGTTATGTGCGGGCAAGCCAACTCGTCGGCCAAGCTCGGTCGGGAGGTAAAATGTGTTGATGTGGCGTTGAGCGCGTTGTTGACTTCTCGATCTTACGACTGCAACCGAGGAAGGAACACGTCTAGGCCTTCGGGTTTTAGAGCCTGAAGACAAGGCTAGTTTTGCGAAGTTCGCAAATCGTCAACGTAGGGCTCGGTCCCGGTAATTATATTCGTGAGAGTATAAGTACGCTGAACCGGTGTCAGACTATACTGACAAAAATACTCAAAAGAGATAAATGTCTCGATGGTAAATGTGGTTCGACAATTGGAGTGCCGAACTCTAAAATGTACATGTGAATATCCAATCATAAAGTAAAACGCGATGTTCAATATGCCGAGCCTAGTAACCTATGACACCTCACTTCATCGAGAAGGCTGATGAGATGACCTCTACCAACAAGGACTCAAAAATCCTTGTCGATCGAGACTTGGATAAATAACCAGTTGGCCTCAAAGCAGTGCTGTCTATCCAAATTGAAGGTGCTCCTCAGTTGGCTAATTCTACGACTCCAGTGTTGTCTATCCAAACTGAAGATGTCGCCGGTTGCCTTCAAAGTGCTATTTATCCAAACTGAAAATGTGTTGGCAGGAAGAAAGGGGAAGAGGATAAAATCTCAAGAGTTGTTGAGAAGCTTTGAGTAGGGCAATTTGTGTGTTGATTTGGAAAAGATTTAATGATGCACTTCCTTTTCTATTTATAGCAGCGAACCCTCTTATGGCCGAACTAGAGATGTACTCAGATTAGAACTCTTCATCCTAATCTGATTAGATTTCGACCAATCCTAACTCCTATAGGACTTTGAACCATGCTCTTTAACAAACCAGATTCATTCTTAATTCTAAGCACCTTCAACTTTAAGACTCCTTGTTGTACTAGGGTTCGACTACCTCTCATTTATCTAAATCAATCTTTCTTGCAACAGTATTCCCGCGACCTTGACTGGACAGCCCATGACAAAATTCTAGATGAATGTTACTGGGCCGAGAACGACTCTCAGCTCGGCCCAAAATATTATTTTGGGCCCAAACATTGCCCCCTCGCTTCTAAGGTCTTCAGTTCATAATTCTTGGGCGAGCCTCGACCTTGAAGAAGCGATTTATTACCAAAGAACAAACCCTTAGCATATTCATCCAAAGAAAATTACAAGCCTTGAACTATTCAACCACTCGGACGCATTTATTAAGCACGACCTCCCACTTCTGTCAATTTTTGAAAAATGCTACACAACTTGACACGTGGCAACTCCCATGATATCCCACTTCTACCAATTTTCTAAAAATGTTGCACTACTTGACATGTGGCAGCTCCTCATCATGATTATCCACCTTCAATCATGCGTGCCCCACGTTCGAGGCGTGTAGACGCCGAAATGTCTCTTCGTCATAAATTTCATCGTTACACACAATCGTGCAACCTTAATTCCCGTGCTTTTCAGCCTGTTCACCTGGATATTTAACTATCCGTCATGACCACGTTTCAATGGTCATGAACTTCATAGTTTTAGCATTGGGTCCCATTGGGCGTGCCAAAATGTTGATCCTAAAAACTACTAAGCCTACATGGTGCGCCGAGTAACTAATAAGCTAACTATGTTCTTTGATCATGTAGGGGGCGTGCCAACTAGTCGGCCAAGCTCGGCCGGGGAGTAAAATGTGTTGATGTGGCGTTGAGTGCGCTGCTGACTTCTCAATCTTACGACTACGGCCGAGGAAGGAACACGTCTTGGCCTTAGGGTTCTAGAGCCTGAAGACAAAGCTGCTAGTTCTGCGAAGTTCACAAATCGTCAGCGCCAGGCTCGGTCTCGGTAATTATATTCGTGAAAGTATAAGTACACTGAACTGGTATCAGACTATACAGACATAAATACTCGAAAGAGATAAATGTCTTGATGGTAAATGTGGTTCGGCCATCGGAGTGCCGAACTCTAAAATGTACCTGTGAATATCTAATCATAAAGCAAAACTCGGCGTTCAATGTACTGAGCCTAGTAACTTGTGACACTTCACTTCGCTGATAAGGCTGATGAGATGACCTCTACCAACCAGAACTTAAAAATCCTTGTCGACCGAGACTTGGATAAATAACAAGTCAGCCTTGAAGCAGTGCTATCTATCCAAAATGAAGGTGTTCATTGGTCGGTTGATTCTACGACTCCAGTGTTGTCCATCCAAACTGAAGATGTTGCCGGTTACCTTCACAATGTTGTTTATTAAAACTGAAGATGTGTAGTTGGGAAGAAAGGGAATAGGATAAAATCTCAAAGGTTGTTGAGAAACTTTGTGCAGGGTAATTTGTGTGTTGATTTGGAGATGATTGAATGATGCACTCCCTTCTCTATTTATAGCAATGAACCCCCCTCATGGCCGAACTAAAGATGTACTCGAATTAGAACTCCTCATCCCAATCTGATCAGGTTTCGACCAATCCTAACTCCTATAGGACTTTGAACCACGCTCTTTAACAAACCAGATTCATTCCTAATTCTAAGCACCTTCAGCTTTAAGACTCTTTGTTGTACTAGGGTTTGATTACCTTTCCTTTATCTAAACCAATCTTTCTCGCAACAGGATTTGGCCGACCTTGATTGGATAGGGAACGACTCTTAGCTTGGCCCAAAATATTATTTTGGGTCCAAACGGTAGCACAAGAAGTCTGATTAGGATTTGAGTTCCCTAAAGAAATTGGATTCTTTAAAGAAATAGGATTTAATTGTAATTATTTATGTTTCTTAGTAGGATTACGTTATGATGGCTATATAAACCCTAGTTACCGGTTGTAATAGTCAAAGATTTCCCTAAAAGAAATAGTATTATTTTTAAAGAAACAGGATTTAATTAGTTTTCTTTTTCTATTTGGTTTAGGATTTCCCTTCGCTTGTTATTTACGTTTCCTAGTAGGATTAGGTTTATGATGGCTATATAAACCCTAGTTATCGGCTGTAATATTCATCAATTCTATCAGTACAAATTTGAGACTTGCATTCGGCTGCAAATTCAAGAAAATATGAAGGTGCTAGCTGCATACTTGTTGGCCGTGTTGAGGGGCAACACTGCCCCTTCCGCCGAAGATCTCAAGGACATCCTCCGATCTGTTGGCGCTAAGGCCAATGGTGGCGGGATTCAACTTCCTTCTTCGGGAGTGGAGCGTAAGGACATTGCAAAGCTAATTGCGTCTGGGCAGGAAAAGATGGCCTCCGTCCCATCTACTGGTGGTAGTGCTTGTTAAATCTGAGTTTTGTCAACAGAGATCTTTTGCAAGCTATGAGAAATCTCGTTAATATTAAATGAAGAATAAATAGGTTTTATATAAGCCTTACACAGTAACTGAATGAAAAAACATGCAGCCCACGTTGAACATAAACCTAAACGTGGTAGAAGACTAAGTTTGAAGGAAAAACTGATCCCTAGATTCTAGGGTTTATTTCACCATGCAGTTGAAACTGCTTACATAATTAACCCTAAACTTACGTAGTGGATAAAACCACTACTTCTAACATTCTCCCTTAAATTGACTGCTAAGTAATCAGTTTACATTTGATTCCAAACACATTCCCATAGACTCCCGCAACTTCAGGAAGGTATCAGTCTTCAATGGCTTGGTTAGTATGTCTGCTATTTGCTCCTGAGTGTTGCAATAAACCAGTTGCATAGTTTTATCCTTAATCAGCTCACGAAGGAAGTGGAACCGTACATTTATGTGCTTGCTTCGACCATGCAGCATAGGATTCTTGGAGAGCTTTATTGCTGAATTATTATCACAGAAAATCGTTGTAGAAACTTGCTGAACCTGACCTAAATCCTTCATTATCCTCCTTAACCAGGTTGCCTGACAAGCAGATGAAGCTGCTGCAATGAATTCAGCTTCAGTTGTTGATAGTGTAACCATCGGTTGCTTCTTGGAAGACCAACACACAGCTCCTGAACCTAACATGAACAAATATCCTGATGTACTCTTTCTATCGTCCAAGTCACCTGCATAATCAATGTCTGTATAGCCTCTGAGCTCAGCATGTTCTTCCTTTCTGTAAAGAACTCCAAGGCCGATCGTGCCTTTTACATATCTCAAAACCCTTTTTGCAGCTGCCAAGTGCATTTCTGTTGGACCTTCCATAAACCTGCTAATTAAACTCACCACAAACATAGTGTCAGGCCGAGTGGCTGTGAGATACATGAGACTCCCCACAATTTGTTTGTAGTAAGTGCTATCGACCCTCTCACCAGTCAGGTTCTTCGTTAGCTTGGTACCTGGAACAATAGGATTATGCACTGGATTGCAATTCCCCATATTAAACCTCTCCAACACTTCCTGAGCATATTTCTTTTGACAGATGAATATTCCATCTGGTTTCTGCACTACTTCAATTCCAATGAAGTATCTCATCTTACCAAGATCAGTCATTTCAAACTCATTCATCATCGACTGCTTAAACTTATTGAACATGCTTTCATCATTGCCAGTATAAATGAGATCATCAACATAAAGACAAACAATGAGAATGTTACCTCCATCTCCTGCTTTGATGAACAAAGTGTGTTCATGGGGACACTTCACAAACCCTTCCTTCAAGAAATAAGCTTCTATACGACTATACCAAGCACGAGGGGCTTGTTTAAGTCCATATAAAGCTTTCCTTAATTTGTAAACTTTATGCTCCTTACCTCTCTGCACATACCCAGGTGGTTGTTCCACGAATACTTCTTCGTTGATTTCCCCATGTAAGAAAGCACTTTTCACGTCCATTTGATGAATTGTCCATTCCCTTTGAGCAGCAAGCGCAATCACAATTCGAATGGTATCTAACCTAGCCACATGAGCAAAAACTTCAGCATAATCAACCCCATATTCTTGAGCATACCCCTTTGCCATCAACCGAGCTTTGTACTTGTCCACCTCTCCATTCTTATTCAGTTTAGTCTTGTAAACCCATTTAACTCCAATTATCTTCCCTCCTTGAGGTAGATCTGTCAATTCCCAAGTGTTGTTCTTCTCAATAGCTGCTACCTCGACATCCATAGCTTTTCTCCATTTGACATTTTTCACAGCTTCATTGTAATGAACTGGATCAATACTTGCAAGAAGAGCCAAATGCACCGTGGCTTCCTCTTCTTCAAATAAACCTTCTCCTGTCACATAATCCCGCATCCATACTGGCGGATTTCTAGGTCTTCTTTCTTCTGAACTGGATGAATTTGCTTCTGAGACTTCATCTGATCCATTATTGTTGCTTGTATCATTGTCATTTCCATCGAATCCATCTTCATCTCTTCCCTCACTGTCAACCTCATTAGCTTCACTTGTTGTGTCTTCATCATCATCCCATTCCAAATCTACTATGACAGCTTCATGATGATGCTCATCCCATACCCAGTTACTGTTCTCATTAAACCTAACATCATGACTAATTATGATGTTCTGTGAGACTGGTTCAAATAGCCGATAGGCTTTGGACCCTTCGTTAACCCCAAGTAACACACACTTCATACTCTTATCATCCAGCTTGGTTCTCTTGTTGTCTGGGATGTGCACATATGAAATGCACCCAAAAACCCTGAAATAACTTACTGACAGTATCGTACCACTCAAATGCCTCCTCTGGTGTTTTGTTTTTTACTACAAGTGTGGGATTTCTGTTGAGCACATAAACTATCCAGTTTGCTGCTTCAGGCCAAAATGTCTTTGGCATCTTCTTCTCGGTTAGGAAGCTTCGAACCATGTTCATGATGGTTCGATTCTTACGCTCAACTACTCCGTTTTGCTGTGGGGTGTAGACTGCAGTTAACTGTCGTCGAATCCCATTCTCAACACAAAACTCAACAAACTCATGAGATGTAAACCCCCCTCCCCGATCTGTGCGCAGACTTTTAATGCTTGCATCAGTCTCATTCTCAATAAGACTTTTGAAGACTTTAAAAAATCGAAAAGCTTCTGACTTCTCTACCAGGAAATAGACCCAAGTCTTGCGAGTAAAAATCATGAATAAAGGTCAGTAGATACTTTTTCTTACTGTTGGATGCATGCTTTATTGGTCCACATATGTCTGCATGAATGAGTTGTAGACTTGAGAAGCCCTCCAGGTACTCCTTTTTGGAAAGGGGTCTCTCGGCTGCTTGCCTATCATGCAATTCTCACACACTCTTGAGGTGTCCTTTATCTGAGGCAGTCCACTCACCATCTGCTTCTGTTGGAGAGTCTTTAAGCCACCAAGACTCAAATTCCCATAACGACAGTGCCACAGCTGAACTGGATCATCTGTGAGAGCATCGAAACATGCCTGGACACTGAGATGATGCTGAGCAATAATAATAAACATGCGGTTTGCAGCCATAATGGTCTCCATGATCAGTCATCTCTCAGGGTGATAGATCTTGCACCTTCCATGTTTAATGAGAATAGCAAGACCTTTCTCCTGAAGCTGACCAATGCTTAGAAGGTTGTTCTTCAAAGCAGGCACATAGATAACCCCTGTGGTCACCTGAGTCATCCCACTCACTTGTAGTCTAATGTTTCCTTTCCCCAAAACAGTCATACTAGTATTGTTCCCTAGTTTCACACTTTCTTTAAAACTTTCATCAAAGTCAAAAAATAGCTCCCTCTTACCATACATATGATTGCTGCAACCCGAGTCGAGGAACCAAATATCTTCTTTGACCTCTGGAGCATCTACATACGCCATTAGCAACATCTCTTCACTAGCCTCAGCATAATTGAGCTTTGCTTCCTTGTCTTTCTTAGGACACTCATACTGAAAGTGCCCTAATTCATGACAATTATAGCACTCAATTGTTGACTTGTCAAAGGTTTGTCGACCTTTCCCTCTGCCTCTTCCACGAAAGGTTCCTTGACCACGTCCTCTTCCTCCAGAGTTCTCTTCATACACCACCTTTAGTGCTTGCTCCTTCATAACATGTCCGATCATCCGCTGTTCATGTACCAATAAACTGCTTTGCAGTTCATCAATTGAAAGAAGATCTAAATCTTTGGATTCCTCAATTGAACAAACCACATAATCATACTTAGGAGTCATCGATCTCAGAATCTTCTCAATAACTTCTACATCTGTCAATATGTCACCGTTGATTCTTCTCTTGTTGGCTATGGTCAGAGTTCGACCAAAAAACTCATTCACAGTCTCTCCTGTCCTCATGTGAACATCTCAAACTCCTTTCGAAGTGCCTGCAACTGTGCTCGCTTGACATGAGCAGTCCCTTGATACTTTTGCTTCAACGAATCCCAAATCTCCTTAGCCGTATCCTTGTTCAAGATTGTTTCCGAAACAGCTCGATCAATTGCTTGAAACAAATAATTCTTGGCCTTTAAATCTTTCAACTTTTGATCCTTAAGCACCTTCCTTTGCCCCTCCGCCAGTGAGGCTCCTTCTGCTGCTGCAGTGATTCCATGCTCTACAATGCTCCAATACTCCTTTGAACGTAGAAAATTTTCCATAAGCATCGCCCAATGGTCATAATGCCCATCCAGTTTTGGAATGGATGCTTGCACAAAACCACTTCCTTCTCCTGCCATATTCTCGTATATCTTCACTCAAAAATTACTCTATTTCAAGTTTTAATCAGAAGCCCCAGGTTGGGGCTCTAATACCAAATGTTAAATCTGAGTTTTGTCAACAGAGATCTTTTGCAAGCTATGAGAAATCTCGTTAATATTAAATGAAGAACAAAAAGGCTTTATATAAGCCTTACATAGTAACTGAATGAAAAAACATGCAGCCCACGTTGAACATAAACCTAAACGTGGTTGAAGACTAAGTCTGAAGGAAAAACTGATCCCTAGATTCTAGGGTTTATTTCACCATGCAGTTGAAACTGCTTACATAATTAACCCTAAACTTACGTAGTGGATAAAACCACTACTTCTAACAGTGCAGTTGCAGTTGCTTCAACTGGTGGTGGCGCTGCTCCTGCTCTGTCCGAGGCAAAGAAAGAAGAGAAGAGCGAGGAGAACGAGGAGTCCGATGAATTTTGATACTTTGTTGTGTATTTTCAATATATGATATTTGACTTCCTCTGGATGAATTTTGGAGTGATTCAAATTGGAGGATGTTCATGTGTCTCTCAACTTGTTCATATCAAAGTTTCATAATTTTCTACCCAGCGGTTTATTTTTGGCTTATTTGGGCTTTTTGGCATCCCAGATAACGTCTTTTGGGTTTGAGGCCTTCTGCAATTATGTTCGGGACATCTCAAGCTTTAATTCAAGTTATTTTGGGCTTGTTTTGGACTATTGAAGATCAAAAAATGTGGGATTCTTCTTGGCTAGGCAGATTTCCCAAAGTTAGAATAAGAATGTATTTCCTAGTTATATTATGTGGGATTCTTTGTGGCTGGGCAGATTTCCCAAAGTTAGAATAGGAATGTATTTCCTAGTTATATTATTCTATTGTGTTCCTATTTTTTAGAAGACCTTTTAGGGTTTTATTTTGTAGTAGTATAAATAAAGATATTTAGCCATTAGAGTCGAGAGAGAAAGAGAGGAGGAGAATGTACGCACTATTTTGGATTGACGATTCAAATTTATTTTCAAGGTGTTTTCTTTACATGTTCTTAATAATATTCTGTTTTATGATTGTTGGTAGCTAATTTCTTTTCCTAAGACGAGGCCACGAGCCTTAACAAGAATATATAGTTTGTTTTCAATTTACTTATGATATTATGCATGCATGTTTTGAATTATTAATTACCGTTTTAAACTATCTAAGTGTCTTAGTGATTTGCGACCATTAGAATATTTAGAAAAGTAATTTGATGCAATTTTGATCAGAAAGTTCCTTGAAACCGATGCTGGCTTCTTGTGGCTAATAATTGTAATTTCACTTAAGTAGAACACCATGTTTTAAGGGTTGCATGGTTTTTTAAAGGATTTTCATAAAACTTAATGAGTCTTTCATGTTCATATTTGATTTGAATGTCCGGACATGTTGCATGCATAGAAAAACTTTTTGAAAAAAAAACTTCAAAGTGCTATACTGGAAAGCACTTGGATTTCTAATAACGGGAACTTTAACAAAAAGCTCCTGGTACTGTTTACTTTAACGAAAAACCACATTTTTACATTAAAAAGTCAATCATGGTACTATTTACTTTATCTTTTATTTTATCTTTATCGTTAAAACTCAAAATTTTCAAATCATTTTTATTAGTTTTCTTTAAAAACGGTTTGTTTTATATTAGAAACACTAGTTCTTACATATGTGCTTTCTACGTAAGCAAATCTATAGAGTTTATGACATTTCTAAATATTCCAATGCGGTGTATATAATTTTTACTTTTATCTTAATATAATTAAACGGTTCACATGATTTTACAGTGCATTGGTTTCTATGGATCCTCATTCTCTTTCAACGTCTGAGGTGTCAACTCTTTTGAATCAAAAGTACTTTTAAAATGACTAAAAGTGCTTTTAGCGAAAGTTTTTTGAGTTCTAAAAGCATTTCAAGTGATTTGCAAGAATCATTTAAGTGCTTTTCCAGGATTCACTTTTATTTTTACCAGAATTCACCAGAAAGCACTAGATTAGTTCCATAAACATTTTCACCAAAAACACTTTTAGTTATTTTAAAAACAGTTCCAAACGAGCTCATAATTGAATGCCATTATTTGGAAAAACTGTTTGTGAAATGCCTCATAAAGTATGCACAACCTTATTGCCTAAAACTCGGTATTTCTGGCTCCGTAGAAGGTGACATTTTGCAGATGCCATTACATCAAATGGTACTTGATATCAATAATTCATGACAGAAGAATCCGAAAAGGTTTGATATTTCAATTATTCTGAAGAATCTTTATTAGAACAATGCTTAACACAAGTACCAGAGCTTATGAATTCACCCTTTTGAAAATCAAGCTACATCCAAACAGGCTAAGACATTAAAGCATATAAAAAAGCCGAATGTTTCTAACATCCGCCCATGCAGGCTACGCTCCTCACAATTCGCCGTCCCAGAGTTCCTCGATGGTCTTGTAGGCACCGTGCGTGTCGTTGACAAATCCAGTACCTTTAAGTAGCCTCTCCTGCAAGGAATTACAGGGAAACTTTAGCAAAGTCGAATCACAACAGGCTTATAAATAGGCCTAAACCCATTGGATATGTACAACGACACAGATAAATTATACTAGCAGATGCTACAAAACCGAATCTTTTTAAACAGAAATTTCATTCATCATTCAGGCATGATATACACCAAGAAGAAGAAAAGACGGGTGAATTTGGCTGAGTACTTGCCTGCTTTACTTCAGCAAAGTTTGCAAGCAAGTCTTCAGGTATAGACCAGTCAAAAACATCAAAGTTTTCCTTGATCCTTTCCTCCTTTGTGCTCTTAGGCAGAACACTGTGGCCTGACTGTAATCCCCACCGGATAGCCACTTGAGCAGGAGTCTTTCCCAGCTTCTCTGCTGCCGACAATAGGATTGGATTCTTAAGGACATCACCCTTAATGCTACTTGTGCCTGGGGATCCCAGTGGTGAATATCCCTGATATAAGAAATTCATTACAAAATTATACCAGCAAGCAGCAGCGTGTGAGTTTTGAAATCAACGTTTTACTGTATTAATGAATACTCACACTTAAGTGGACTCCCTTGGATTTACAGAATTCATGCAGCTTCTGCTGCTGCCATTGAGGGTGGCTTTCCACTTGATTAACAGCAGGAGGGATGCGCGCCACTGCTAACAGGTCTCCTAGCTTTTTGGTAGAAAAATTGCTAACCCCAATAGCCCTGGCCTTGCCAGAATCATATGCTGCCTCCAGTGCTTTCCAAGTACTGGGAATGTCAGGTTGGTCAAGGTTTTCAGGCTTAAAACCAACTGAACCACTCTTCATCTTGACCGGCCAGTGGATCTACAATAATTTTATGCACGATCAGTGACAAGTACACAACAATTCTTCCAATTTATATGAAGCTACTGAGACTTGCAAGCTTGTTGTATTGCGTCCTTATTCCCAGATACAACACAGTCCAAAACTAACTAAAGCATAAACCAATGTTAATTTTATTTTCGAAGAAATCATTCTATTCATGTATATAATAAATGTCGTTTTGTCAAAGATTTCACATATTTTGTGCTGGTATGTCGAACTCTCATCGGAATGTACGATCCAAATTCGAAACTCATACACTAGCGAACGAGGATATCATATTGTTTGACAAAAGATTATCCTCTGTATGTATCATGTATGCATGTATATACGTATGTACGTATTAAGAAAGAGTATTTAAATGTGCCTAACATACCAGATACAGATCGAGATAATCGAGTTGCAAGTCCTGCAGGGTACTATCTAGTGCCTTTGGCACATCTTCTGGTGCATGATTGCTACACCTGCACAGTGCAGACAAATGTAATTTCAAATTCAACCTTTCCAATCAGATTGTAAAGACTCGAGAGCCAAGAATTCAACAGGAAAACGCCCATAAACAGAACCCGCTACAAACTTTTTCTCAAAAACAAAATTGGGACAGTAAACCGACAATAAGTTGTATATAAAGTTATAAATCTAGTGTTTGGATTAAAAGTTCGTAACCAGTTTCATTCATGTATGTTTGTGGAGTTATTAACATATTGGAAACAGACCAGAGTTTTGAAGTGATCCACAAGTCCTCCCGCTTCACTACACCATCATCGTAAAGCTTCTTCAGAGCAAACCCAATCTACAAAATTCACGAAATTATGATCGGTCACTGTTTCATTGTCACACCAATTAATTCTCTAAACCAGATTAATTAAGCTGATAAGAGTTAACCCCAAATAATAAAAAAATACCTCTTTTTCATTTCCATAAGCTTGAGCACAATCAATATGCCTATATCCGATCTACATTAAAACGAACGTGCAATTAATAATCAAAACTGAACTTTTTTTATTTGTAATTGGAATTCAAAATTAAGCCAACGGAAAATACCTTAATGGCGGCGGTGACGGCAGCAGCGACGACGCCAGGCTCGGCCTGCCAAGTTCCCAGTCCGACTGACGGAATCTTGGCCCCAGTGCTGAGCTCAAAGAACCGAATTGCTTTCGCCATTTTCCGCTTTTTGTGTTTTGTTTGCAGAAAACTTCACACTTGCTACGATTGTAATTGGCTCAGTTCGTATATATAGCGGGAGGAAAACGGCTAAAGGGCAAATGAATCACGTCAGTTTACACACGTCGCATAAAAGGCCAACATTTAAAGCGGAAGAATGCATTGTTTGACCAAAAACTAAACGGAAAACGTCGCGTATTTGTGAGTTTTCTTTTCAGTTTTCACATACAATGTATTATTGAAATCGAAATGGAAATTAATAATATTTTTTGAAGGAAACTTTATTATTATTATTTTTTTAATTTTATACACCGAAGCATATTAGTAATGTAATGTATTTCCACATAACTATTATGGAATTTATTAATTATGAAATTTAAAACTTTCCTTTATATGGGATATGTCAAAAGAAAGAAATTTTATTATATTCAAATGGAAATATTTACATTTGAAGCCAAGTATTAAACAATCATTATGGCTCAAGACCATCCCAATTATGAAAGCTCCCTTCCCAGGCAACAAACGAAGTCATTAGATGCGCTGCCTTGTTGCAAACACAAGGAGCGAAGACAAATTCTACTGACCTCATCGGTTATTTCAAACATTGAACATCAAAGAAAATGCCTTCAATCACATCAAGTTGAGTTTTTCCGTTAAGCAAATGCACATTTTGTGGAAATTTAAAATTTTCCATTTTATGGGAATATGGTTTAAAATGCACATTTTGTACATATTCAATGTGGTTTAAACTTTTCATTTTATGGAAATTAAAAAGTGTCTACCTCTTTGGAAAAAAAAAGTGTCTACCTCTTCGAATATATATAGCACCCACAACGAGTTACGACTTACGAATCTTCTAATATATATCATTCAAACAAATTAAAATACTCAAAATATCAAAAATTAACTAAAAAGAGAGGTTTTTTTTTTTCTTTTCTTAAACAATATATACACTAAGAGGGTGAAGGAGTGAATTTAAGCATATTGTTGCTAACTCATTGCGAGTCTTGGCACACCCCCTCTTCTTTAGTATAGATAATATCGTTTGTTAAAAAAAAATCAATAATAATAATAAAAATGCGCAACCCCTCTTAGTGTAAATAATATTGTTTGTTAGAAAAAAAAATCTATAATAATAATAATAATAACAACAACAACAACAACAACAACAACAACAACAACAATAATGCTTAAATTGCTAATATGGACAAAAGTTAAAAGACTTTCATCAAAATTTAAAAATCAATAATATTTCAATCAATAAACATTGATTGTTAGGACCACGTCCTAAATTTTCCAACTTTTAATTTCATACTCGACGTTACTAGTAGTTGGAATGAGGTACACTTCCAAATTCGGGGGATAAAATGAAATTCTCACTATAAGTTGGGTGTTTTCTTTGTTATATTTACAACCAAAATTAGGGGATGATGTATTCAAACTCTTACCATCGTGTACAAAAATAATTACTTTTAATCAACTGAACTATAAATCATTTGTAAAATTAAGATACTTTTGGTATGTCAACAAGTTCGTAGTATTACTAATAAAGGTGGTTTGAACATGTGAACTAAAGATCTACAAATTCTCTGGTTAGAAGATGCGATTACGAGATAGAGGATCAAGGTAAATAGGGTAGATGAATACATAAGAAGACTTCGAAAGAGACTTAAAAAAAAAAGGAAAAATTAGTATCCGGTCACTAGTTACTAATGTTCACTGACTGAAACCTTATTAGTTTTCAAAATTTGATAAAAGTCCCTACCATTAATGCAATAATGAATTTACATGTCAGTTACATAATTTAGGATTTTAACCTCACACCTTTATTGAACTCCTAACTAATTTTCAATTCAAAACATTTCCAAAAAATAAAAAATAGAATAAGATTGTATCCCTTAATTTTTTATAAAAAGGTTTCCAATTTTTTATTCTTATATGTACCCATTCATGTAATTTTTCAATTTTAATCTTAAAATGTACCAATTCTTAAATATACCAATTTGTTGTATGTAAAATGTAACCTTTTTTTTTTTTTTTTAATAAAATCTATTCAATTTTTTTCTAATCCATTTTTAAACTTATATGGGTACATACTTTTTCTTGATTTGAGAATGTATACATGTCAAGTTTAATCAAAGAAATTTACAAATGTTATTAATCCTAATATCTATTATTTTTTGTGTGGTTTTGAAGAATGTACCCAATTTATATTTACACACACACACACACACACACTCTCTCTCTCTCTCTCTCTCTTGCATACAAAATATATTGGAGAGTATAATTTATATTTTAGTAATTTTAATCCATAAATTATGGTTCTTTTATATTTAAAATCTCATTAATATAAACAACTAGAAATTTCAATTTTTAATCTAAAAAATATAGTAAGCTACATAGAAATACATTATCACATTAATTTCAAGAACTTCAATCAAAAATTGAAAAACCAACAAGGTTTGAGTCAAAGAATATTAATAGTTAAGGACCGCATTCAAAGTGTCCACAAAAAATATATTTAGAGCTGATAAAAAACTTAGTGCAAAATCAAGCACAGTATTGTTCTAACATTCATACATCTAAGGTCAATCTCGGTCAGCCATGTGCCCAGTCCGACCAACGGAATATCGGTACCAGTGTTGAGCTCAAAAAAGCGAATTGCTTTCGCATTTTTCGCTTTCTGTGTTTTGTTTGCAGAAAGCTTCACCTCTGGTGCGATTTTAAATGGCTCAGTTGTTATATATAGGGCGAGGAAGACGGCAAAAGGGCAGATGAATCGCGTCGGTCTTCACATGCATTGTTTGGCCAAAAACTAAACAGAAGACGTTGCGTTTATATAAGTTTTCTTTTCAGTTTTCACATGCAAGGTATTATTGAAATGGAAATGGAACGTCATACTGACGGTGACCGACAATTGACTTATTTTACGTAAGTTACTCTTAGATTGTATTGACTCTTCGTGTTCGGCAGGAATTTTAGTTGTATACCTCAACTCAAAAGGCTTGCTTAGAATTATTTGTAAATTTACATAGAATGTTTTTGTTGAAATTAATTTTGAGTTCTAAAAATATTTTAAGTATTTTTTGAAAGAAGTATCATATATGTGTTTCTTGCAAGAAGTAAGTGTTTTTTCATGATCTACTTTAATTTTTATTAAGAATTGGTTTAGAAAATTTTCAACAAAAATGCTTTCAATCATTTAAAATCACTTTCAAACGAACCCTAACTTTTATATGAGACTTTGGATGTAACAACCCATTCAGAATTTTTACGAAATTTATTTTTTTATTTTTATTTATTTATTTATTTTTTATGTGTTTGTTTTCTTTTGGCCTTGCTTAGTGTGCCAATGGGGGCCCACCCTAGCTTTTTGGTCCCTGGCTCTCTCTTTCTCTCTTTTCCCCCTCTCTTTTCTCTTTCTTCTCTCCTTGTGAAGCTCTCTCTCATCTCTGTCTTTCTTTCCTTCCCCGAGCACACCCACACACATGAAGGACTACCAACTAGCCACCTCCAACCTTTCCTCTCTCTCTCTCTCTCTAATCTCCCTCATCCCTCTCGGACTCTCTCACATCTCTCATCCCTCTTCTTCCTCTGCAAGTGCAGACACTGAGACCACCACCACTACCACCGTATGTTAACAAATCCGGCGAGTTCCATGATTTCCGATTAGGTGAGCCTTGGAGTCACTTTTCTTTGCCTCAAATTGATGTTTGGTTTGATTGCTAAGTTTGTATACTCGTTGTTGTGAAGGATCAACACGAAATCGACTCGGAGTAACAAACCCAGTTTTTCGATGACTTTTGAGTGGTTTTCCAGCCAATTTCGGCCACGGCCAAGAACACCAGTGGTATATTTCTATTCCCCTCCTCCGTAGCTTCAAATCCATATATGGCATGCTAGTTATAATTGTGAAATGAAGCTAATTGGACTCTGTTTATCTTTCTGGCCATTTTTGCAGAAATCAGCTAACCCATGGCCTAAAACCCGGTTGACCAGACCCGGTGGAATATTTTTTAGAATATTCTGTTAGGGAATATTCCTTATGTTGACTTTTACAAAATTTGCTCAGCACCCGCCTTAGGGTATTTTGACACCCTGAGTCCAAATCCGGGTTCTGTTTTCCCAAATTCAATCATTTTAGTAGGGTTTTACTAATTGGTCCCTATATGTGCTTAGGTGTGTTTATCAGTGGCAATTCCGTCCTCCCTAGTTCGAACGTCTCTTCGATGATGGATTATCTGTGAGTGGACCCCTTCTAAAATGCATGATTTTATTACTAGAAATGCATACTTGAAAATCATGATTTTATGGCAACGGTTTATGAAAAGTTTAATGAGTTATTGGATTTACGCTTTATGAAATATCATATTTTATCGAATTTACATTACTGAGATATTTATAAATATGATTTATGATATGATGTTTGAGCTATTGAGCTCCGATGAGATATATTTTGGAAAGATTATGTTCATGATTTTCTATGCTTACTTAGTGGTTATTCATACTTTATGCCTTCAAGCAGGAGATGTAGTGCCTACGGGCGAATGATATATATATGCCTTCAGGCGGGCGATGTAGGGCATTCGGGCAGAAGATTTATATATGCCTTCAGGCAGGCGATGTAGGGCCTTTGGGCGGAAGATTTATTTATGCGTTCGGGGGCGCGATGTAGGGCCTTCGAGTGGAAGATTTATATATGCCTTTGAGCGGATGATGTAGGGCCTTTAAGCGATTGTGATACCACTACTAAGCACACTATATACGATATATGTTTTATGGTAGGCTAGGGTTTTCGGAAAACCTATTAATTATTATGCTATATGAGTTTTCTAAAACTGGGGGTTAGTAGGTTTAGGTTGAAGAATAATTGTTTTCGTATTACTTATATATAAACTTGGTCCACTCATACTTTGTTTTGCGTACCCTTCAGGACTTAGAATCGAGGCGTACAATCCTAGCGTCAGGGTACTTCCGCATCGATATCTTCGAGTCCTCTCAGTGTAGGACCCATTCCTTTGTTCGTACCTTTTCGTAGTATTTCTTCTACAGTATTCTTGATTAGTTGTATGCTCTGAACACATTCCCACTTTTGCATATTCTTTATTAGTAAAATTTACGTGTTTTATTTACGTTCGTTCTTTCTTCATAACTTACATGCATGTTAATATGGCTTCGTCACACTCGGGTGTCGTCCAACACGTGCCTACCCTGATGTTTTTAGAATATCGGGATTGGGTGTGTCATTGGATGTGGTCCTTATTCAACTACAACATAGTGGTACATTCTACAATAGAAGGAAAAAAAAAAAAAACGTATGTGCATATTCAACTACGGCACATGATTAGTAAGCAAATACAACAAGCAAATGATCATTTTTTTTTTAACAAAATAATTTACTATTATTAGGAGGAAGGAAGAGTCTGAAATTATTACAAAATTTAGGGAAAGGAGAGTTTAACCTCGGGATACATAGGTAAAAATCCAACGCACTATCCACAAAGAAATTTTACCACATGCAAGCAAATGATATCGTACCATTTGAATATTTAAAATCTATTTACAGCAAGAAGAGTGGAGAAAAAATGTCTACCTCTTCAAAACGGGTTAGGAATCTTCTTATATATATCATTCAAACAAATTAAAATACTTAAATATAAAAAATTAACAAAAAGAAGAGTTAGAAAAGAAAACACCAGACATTGTTCATGGAGGGAGATAATTGCCTAAAAAGAAGATTACAATCAATAAACATTGGTTATTAGGGACCGCATTTTAATTTTTCCAACTTTTAATTTCTTACTCAACATTACTGATAGTTTAAATGAGGTCAACTTCCAAACTCGGGGATATAAAATGAAATTCTTGCTATAAAGTTGGGTACTTTTTGTTTTATTAACAACCAAAATTAGGGGACGAGGTATTAAAATAAAATTAAAAAAATTAGGGTACGAGTTATTCAAAGGGAATTTTAACGAAAAACCCGCGGCACTGTTCACTTTAACGAAAAACCACATTTTTACACTAAAAAATCAATCCTAGTACTATTCACTTTATCCTTTGTTTTGTCCTTATCATTAAAACTCAAAGTTTTCAAGCCCTTTTCATTAGTTTTACTTTATTCAAACTCTTATCATTGTGTGAAAAAATAATTGTTATTAATCAATTGAGTTACAAATTATTTGCAAAATTAATAAAATTTTTGGGTGTGTCACAAGACTCACACCATCGTAGTATTACTAATTAAGGTGATTTGGACATGTGAAGTTGTGAACTAAAGATCTACAAATACTCCAATTAGAAGATGCTATTTTGAGAAAAAGACTCAAAGCAAATAGGGTAGTGGAATACATAAGAACATCTGGAAAGAGATTCTAAAAAAAATATATGGAGTATTTAGAGTTAACAGAAAACTTGAAACAAAACCGAATGTAGTGTCGTTCTAAAATTCATACAATCGATACCGCTATGTCATATAAAGTTTTGTTATTGTTGTTTTAAGTTATATAAAGATTTTCCACTTAGAGATATGGGGATTTGTGTTAAGTTGCACCGTGAGTGATTATTTTACTTTTGTCATAACACAATAGCACTCTGGCCCATAATATATCAACCCACCCATCAAAGTTAATTAAAGATACATCAAATTCATGAGCATCAACGTCGACTAATATTGCACACAATAATTATTAATACAACGTAAGTAACAGTTTGATCATGATGTTAATGAACTTCACCTTAAACGGGAAAAGAATGGGAGAAAAAAAGTTGGACAATGTGATATTTTGTGGCCGGCCATATAGGAGCTTGTTTTGGAGTTATGCAATTGGCTCTTGTGTTAGTGTAGTTGGTGAACTATTTTGAATAGAGGAAGGAATCCAACTAATCGGTTCACTTTTGCAGTTCCAAGTGAGCACGACAAAGACAAACATCCAATGGAACCCGCCATTCTCTCTATTTCAGCTCGTTTGTCATTGTCATGTCTCCAATGATTTTGACCAATATACGTTACCAATTTGTTTTCCTCTCCTTTTTTTTGGGATGCACAATGCCACCGTCTTCCATCTTCACCAACTTGCTTGTTTGTGTTAAAGTTGAAAATCCTTCATCCTTGAAAAAACTTTCATATAATGGATTTATCGTCACTGTAATATTCCATTTTAATAAAACAATGATATGTATAAGTTTTTCAACACATCATTTTATTATTGAATTTAGAAACCACTTGTTCCATCTAAAATGCAATTATATCTGCAAGACTTATTCCCATAATTGTTTGACGATGGTTAGTATTTCCAGATCTTCCGGTATGCTTTGATTAATCAAAGTTTTGTTGTCATCTTTACAAAAGAAGTTTTGTTGTCATCTCTCATTCTTCTTTTTGAGGGTATAATATTTGAGAGTTGAGAATAACTTGATTACTAAGTTGAATGGATGTACTTAGTAAGGTCCGTTTGGTTTGTAACGAAGCAACGCGCTAAACGAATAGCTAATGAGCTAATTACGTCCTTTTAGTAAATGTCAGCATGCCAATTTACTACCAAGCTCGATCGGCGAGTAGACTGAATGTGGTTGTGGTGTCGAACGCGCTGTTGACTTCTGTTATTCGAGCGATTGCGGTTGAGGAAGGAACACGTCTCGGCCTCTGGGTTCTAAAGCTTGAAAACAAAGCTGCTAATTTCTGTGAAGTTCAAATAAGGTTCGGCTTTCAATGTGCCAAACACTGAGTAACTAGGAACAACTAAACTTGCAGATAGGCTAATGAGATGACCTCTTTCAATAAGGACCCAAAGACTCGTTATTAACAGAGATTTGGATAGATAGTCAGCTGAACTTGAGTATTGTAGCTGAACTTGAGGCATTGCTGTCACTCCAAGATGAAGGTGCTCCCTTGAAGCATTGCGTTACTCCAAATTGAAGTTGTTCCTCGGTCGTCTGACTCTACGTCTCTAGTGTTGTTAAGCCAAGATTGGCTCCAGTGCTGTTAATCCAGGATGAAGATATTGCCGGTTGCCAACACAATGCTGAGGATATATCGTAGAGCAAGAATTTGTGCAAAGTAGTTTTGTGTGATGAGTTGAAGGTCCTTTTCCGCTGCACTATTTCTTTGTATTTATAGGATTAATATGCTTGAACGTGTCACTTTTGAATAAACCAAAACCATCTTCATCCTCATTACCACTCAACGTGCTATTTGGAATAATAATATCAAATTGGCCAAAAAGATAAATCACAAATGGATGGTAACATCTTTTATCCATTAGTCGAGTCCAATTACTATACCATTAGTGTGGATGCAAATTTCCGCCGTCTTCTCCTTTAATGAAAATGTATCTGCAAAATAATAACATCTAAGATTAAGGCCAAAAGCATCATGCGCCCAGGATGAATTGGGGGGTGGGGGTCTTTGGCTCAAGAATCTCTGATGCCAAAGTTAGAATTTGAGAGAGAATGTATTTAGGAAATTTTAGGGAGAGAATGAACTTAGCATTTTAGTGGGGAAAATGAGACTATTTATAGGGGTGTGGCCGGCCCTATTTGTAGAATAGGGTATGGCCACTTTTGGTGGAATTAGGGATTTAATTGTAAGATATTATGTGAAATAATATCTTGCAATTAATCTAGGCAATCAATCCTAATTTAAATAGGATAATTGGGAGTTACTTTTTGAGTAGGGATTTGATGACGAGTGATGAAAGGGATTTGAATATATACCATTTTGATTACCTTTGACTCTTCCTTGATTGAGTCGTTATTGTCCGTTACATGTGTGTGGGAATCGCGGTCTGTCTTGAGAGTAATTTTGTCATTTTAACCCAAAAGTCCATGTATCACCTCCATAAATTTCTTGATTATTTTTTACATCACATGCTAATATGTCACATCACCACAAAATTCTGACTCTTCATCAGCCAACCCCTTGCTAATGAAGATCACGTGCATGCATGATAATCCTTTCATCCAATTGGACTTTAGGATATGATTGTATCATGACAATCCTTTCCATTTTTTGCATCACGTTAATCCTTTCCACCTTTTTTGCATGACATTAATTTTTTAGAAAAACTAACGAAAAGTTCAAAAAAACTTTAGTTTTAATGAAAAATGACAAATAAAGGTGTAGTAAATAGTACCAGGAAAAGGTAAAAAAGTAATTTTTCGTTAAAAGTGAACAATACCGAGAATGTTTTGTTAAAATTCCCTAATTTTTTTTACTAGACTACAAGATAATGATATATCATTATCCACTGCCGCAAATCATTAAGAAGCCAATGTCTATCTTATTATGGAACAAACTTCTCGATTTTGTCGTCCTCTAAGATAATTACTATGATAATCCAATAGTAATATGTAGGAAAAATATTAAAATTCAACGGCCTTTATCACACAGACCAATAGCGTTGTGGCCGTAATGGGATGAAATTATTGTATGCTAGTTAGAATGAATCTCATATTGATGGGAGGAGAGACCTTGCATGGGCTTATAAGTTAGTCGGGCTACTCCCCATATTATGAATTATTTTTATGGTGGAACCTCAACTTTCATCATGGTATCAAAGCAGGTTGTCCCACGTGTGAAGCCAAATGGCCACACGTGCTTCACGTCACGCTGTTGTATTGTTCACGTGTTAGACTTGAAAATTCGCCACACGTGGGGAGGCATGTTGAGAATAAATTCGCCACACATGAGGGGCTGTGTTGAGAAAAAATCTCACATTGATGGTAGAAGGGACCTTGCATGGCTTATAAGTAAGTTGGGCTACTCCCTTTATTGCCAAGTGGTTTTATGGTGAAATCTCAACTTTTTCCATGGTATTAGAGCAGGTTGTTCCACGTGTTAGGCTTGAAAATTCGGCACATGTGAGAGGGCGTGTTGAGAATGAATCCCCATTGATAAGAGGAGGGACCTTGCATGAGCTTGTAAGAGGTTGAGCTACTCCCCATATTACCAATTGGTTCTATGGTGGAACCTCAACTTTCTTCATGGTACCAAAGTAGGTTGTCCCACATGTATCTACCTTTTTTCATGGTATCAAAGTAGGTTGTTCCACATGTTAGGCTTGAGAATGAATCTACATTGATGAGAGGAGGAACCTTGCATAGTTTTATAAGAGGTTGAGTTACTCCCCATATTACCAATTGGTTTTATGTTGGAACCTCATGGTATAAGAGCAGGTTGTCCCACATGCGAAGCCAAACAGCCACACGTGCTCCACGTCATCCCGTTGTGTTGTCCACATGTTAGGCTTGAAAATTCGTCATATGTGAGGGGGCGTGTTGAGAACGAATCCCACGTTGATGAGATGAGGAATTTTGCATCAGTTTATAAATAAGTTGTACTACTTACCATATTGCCAATTGATTTATGGTGAAACCTTAACTTTCTTCACTACATACATTGCTTTGTATTTTGAAAGTTTTTCGGAGATTCTAGCATAAGCGCAGTGAAACGAATTTGCCAGATTAGTTTGTTTCTCATATTTTTCCGTTACCAGTTTGTTGCTCATATTTGCTTCTTAATGTTCTTGATTGTTGTTAACTGCTACTAGTTTGTTTCTGATGGCTCCAAGATTGGTTACGAATCATTTTTTTTTCACTGGTAATTAATTGTTCTGCAAAAACTGTACGTTGATCTCTGTCCCATGGTTCAGCTTTGCATCGTGGCACTTCAAGTGTTATGGAGCTTGGGGCAACTTGTAATTCTATTTGTAAGAGACTTTCATTTCTGCACGAGTAGATGGGTTTATTCATGCGGTAGCTTCAAGCTTGCAGTTGCTTTCGCTTTCGTCACCTGGATCCTTGCTGCCATATCCTCTCACGTGATGTTTTGATCCTATCGGCATTAGTTTAGAGTATTGTGTTTTTTTGTCCTATCGATGATACATGTACGTTACATCATTCATTTATTTACTCGTAAATGAAAAGGTTTCTGTGACTTGCCAAATTTTTTTCTGAGGCAATTTAGCACCCTCCTATTTTTATTTCAATGCGTCTTTTTAATGTTGCGCCCTCAACTGCATCATATCTTAGTCCACTTAATCTACAAAGACGTATTGAATCAGTTCTACAGATTCAATAGGATCTCTAGTTTTCCTACCCTTCGGGATTTAGACAGTTAATTTAAATTAGTGGAACTTGCATGTAGATTAGTTAATGTCGTAGATTTTTTGCATGTGCGGGGAATGTACATCCTCCTGCAGTGTGCAGCAGATGTGCGATCGGAACATGTAGACACCCCCTTATCTCCAACTACCATGCAATGTACCTGAGTTTTGTGTTCTTTCTTGTTCTACTTCTGTTTGCTGGTTATGTGTATGTTTGTCAACATGGTAGTGCCACTATATACTGACCTGGTGGTTCGAACAGACGGATGGTGACATCCCACATCGTCCAGGGGAGTGATCCTTATATGTATATTCCCATCTCTACCTAGCACAAGGCCTTTTGGGAGCTCACTGGTTTCGGGTTCCATGGGATCTCTGAAGTTAAACGAGTAGCGCACGAGAGCACTCCTAGGATGGGTGATCCATTGGGAAGTTCTCGTGTGAGTTCCCAGAAACAAAACCGTGCGGGTGTGGTCGGGGCCTAAATCGGACAATATCGTGCTACGGTGGTAGAGCGGGCTCGGGAAGTGGTCCCCCCTGGGCCGGGATGTGACAGATGGATCATGGAAGCTGCGCTGAAGAAGCATCTTGAAACTATAGCGTGTAGATAGTTTGTGGCACCATCACTATTTATTGGGAATCTTGATCGATATTTCTTCCCACAAATTCTTTACCCCTTACTCTTTCTTAGAGTTTCATTTATTTTGTTATGCTAGAAAACATTTATCGATTGGTCAAGGGATGAAGTTTGATGGCAGTTGAAACATAGAAAAGTTCATACAATTTGATAAGCCATACTTTTTTAAATTAGGATTTAGACTAGTGACAACGGCCTTGTTCAAAGAAACTCGGGTGCTGGAACATCACTCGTAACAATGCCGATCATATACTCAATCTCATCGGCAACTTCTTTCATTGAAGGCCAGTTGTGCCTCTGCTCATCCAAGCACGACCCTACGAGAAATCCCAGTGCCTGCATTGTCTCCAGTTCTAGCTTGCTAGCTCCCTCTTTAATAACTGGATCAACAGTATCCATCAACCTCTCTTCTTTCAAAACCCTCTTCATGTACACCACCGAAGTCACATCTTCCTCTACTCTGTTGAAATTGATAACCTTCTTAGACATCAACAGATCCAACAAAACAACTCCAAAGCTGTAAACGTCAATCTTATCCGTGAGTTGAAAGTTAATGCAGTAGTCAGGGTCTAGATAGCCGAGGGTCCCCTGAGCAGTGGTGAAGATATTAGTGTTTTTACTGGTTTCTGTGCTCTCAACCAGCCTCGAAAGCCCAAAGTCTGAAACTTTTGCCTCAAAATTTTCATCGAGAAAAATGTTGCTGGACTTCAGGTCACGGTGGTAAATGGGCGGCACTGCAGAAGAGTGAAGATAGGCAAGCCCTTGGGCTGTTCGGTGAGCAATTCGGAGCCTATGGTGCCAACCGATTGGAGCCCATTTTCCGCTGTGATGACAGTGAAGATGATCTGAAAGAGTTCCATTTGGAACGTATTCATATACGAGGACAGGCTGCTGATCAAGCTCAATACAGCAGCCAAGGAGTCTCACCAGGCTCCTATGGTTGACCTGGCAAAGAATCCGAACCTCGTTCAGAATCTGGTCAATGCCCTTGGTGTTTCCAACCTTGGCACACTTGATGGCGGTGATGGTTCCATCATCAAGAGTGCCCTTGAAAACTTCCCCAAAGCCACCGGAGACGATTTTATTGTCTTTTGAAAAGAAGTTGGTTGCTCTTGCTATCTCTTTGTTAGTGAAGAATATTCTGCCTGATTTACCACTGCTTTTGGAATACAAAATCTGCTCACGCTTCTTCATCAAAACCTTTAGAGCTTTTCTTTTCGAGCAACGATGCTGGTTGTAGCCTACGACTCCAATTATGCCAACAAGTACTGATAGTCCCCCAACCACGGCTACAGCTGAACACAAAATATTCATAACATGGCAAAATAACATATCAGATATCTAACAAGAGAACATTATCCTACAGAACATGCCAAATTATATTAATTGACATGGAATGGACTAGTGAAGAGAGCAAACTACCTATGACTATAATCTTTCCATTTTTGCAGCCCTTTGCACTCTTACAGTTCGCATCTACACACAACAAATAAAATTAGTTAGGCTTTGAACTTATAATGAGAAAGATTTGTCACTAAAATTCTGTGCAGGACGTCTATTTTTAAAGCCAATCTGAGAATTTACAAATAAGATGTAAATAAGTTTTAACAACAATAATATCGGCACATTATCGATGACAAAATTTTTTTACTTACTTTGACACCAACACAGCGAAGCACTCAGGCACGCCGCCGCGGCCACATTGTCTCTGACGTAGCTGTGTCACAGGCCGTTTGACGAACAGTCTATCGGCGCCAGCAAGTTTAGCAGCGCGTCCGTGCAGTTGAACATCAAGACGGTGTTGCTACTGGTGATGGTGAAGGGGAGGTTGTCGTCGAGCTGGATGCCTTGGCAGTGAAAGTCGGTTGAGATGCAAGTGTTGGGGGCCAGGCCGGGCAGTCGGATAATGATCCGTTGGGTGTCAGGGTAAATGTGCGTTATGGCGTAGGATAAGCTGTTTAGGGCGTCCAGCCATAGTGTGCCGGCGGTGCAGCGGATGCTGTACCACGGATCGCCACACTTGGGTCCCGCACTTAAGGGAAATGGCACCGGAGTGGTGCCGCACCGCCTCATGGCGGCTACATGGTAGGGAGTGGATGATAGTAGTAGTGGCATTATCACTGCACGGAGAATTATTGTAGATATGAATTTCTCCATTGGATTGTTTAAGGAGAGACGGTTGAAATTAGTGAGCTAGGCTTATGAATCCGTACTGCTGGCAGCATTGTCATGAGCTCCTTTTTCCTTTTCTTTTTTTTCTCTTTTAACTTGTTAGTCCCCAGTTGTACTGCAAAAGACTTCTAGCCCAATTGTTTAAGTGCGTTTATTTTGATACACATGCCTTGCGTTTGATTCATCCATTGCTTGTATAAAATAACTTTTTGGCTACTAGTTAGATTATGGTTTATGAAAATAATATTAGTAGTACCATCTTTACTTTAGGTGTCGCATAAAAGAGAAAAACTCTCATGTCACACGAATTTATTCCCTCTCTTTTTCTCATTCATCAAATCTCTAGGATACAAAAGTATTTATTTGCAACAGGGAGCAGACCTATAACTTCACTGGCTACAATTATTTACTACATGCATGGTTAAAAATATTTATCTCTATACCTGTAGTCCGGAGTTTTATTCCTAGCTCTCTAGAATACAGAAATATTTCTTTGCAATAAAAAAAGCTTGTAACTTCCTCGGCTAAAAGTATTTACTTTGGTTAAAAGTATTTATCCCTACCTAAAGTCCAAGTTTAGATAGCCGGTAAACCAAGTGGACAACTAAGATGATACAAATAGCAGCCTTTTTTCTCACACATTCTCCTTTCAGACATTAGAATATTAGGTTAAAGTAGAATATCGCTTGAATATAAAATATGATTAATAAAATGGAATCCTCCATTAGCAATAGCTTCTTTAGATATAAATTGTTGCAAAAATTGAACCAAATTAATGTGGCTTCCAAAGTGCAAGCACAATGCCTACTTTTTATTATCCCATTATATTGATCCACGGAGTGGCCAAACCCGTTGACAGTTGTCAACTTTGTAACATAACTGATCATCTTGGTCATCCAAATACGGGCATTGTTTGTGGAAGATTGTACAGTACATTGTTCGATTATGATTCATGAGTTGGACATTCCTTGAAAGATGGAACTTCTCGCAGCTCCTTTGCCCTTTCATCTTTCATGATCCGATTGAATTAACAAACATCTGATGTATTTGATATGCATATCACTTATTCTTTGCATTTGCATGAGCATATTCCCTTGTCTGCTTAACATTACAAGATCCTAAAGCATCCTAAACTTTGTTTAATTAGCTTCCTTAAACAATGTGAAATCTCCATTTAGCAATTCCAAAAGATTTTCCATGGTTTCATCTCACACTTGTCTCTTCCCTACTGGCCGCGGTGAGATGAACTGAATTTAATCGAGAATAATTGTTGATTGTTTTTATATTTTATTTTTAAGTTGACATATTCTATCAATTTCACATTTAGATTGTATGGACTCGTGTGCTCTTCAACTTAACATCACATTAGTAATTTTTTTTTTCTTTTTCCGATTATCAATAATAGTTACCCATATGACATATTAAACCATAAGGGAGTGGGAACTAATTAACTCTTTCAGTTAATTTTAATTTTTGTTACGTATTGCCTATGTTACAATTATATGCAAATGATTTTACTAATTTCGACCAAAAAGTACCAAGAAGAAAATTCTACTAAAAATCTTGGTTCTGCTATTTTAAAGTGCGTCAAGATGATTATATGCATCCAATTAAAGCTTGCTGATGACCTTAAATTTGAAAAGGAATTGCCAAACTATCTTGCCATTGAAAGTTCTAATAAGTTGCTGAATCCTCATTTGTAGCAATGCCAATGATGTACTGAATCTCATCAGCAACTTCCTTCATGGAGGGTCTGTTCTGCCTTCGCTCATCCAAGCACGCCAAGGCTAGAGATGCGAATTCCTTCATAGTCTCCAGCTCTGCGATGCCAGCCCCTTCTTTAAGCCTAGGATCTACGGCATCCATTAGCCTCTCTTCTCTTAAAGTGTTCTTGACATAAACCACCAAGTTCACATCTTCTTCTTCTCTGTTAAAATCAATAGCTTTCTTAGAAGTCAAGAGCTCCAACAGCACCACTCCATAGCTATAAACATCGCTCTTATCTGTCAGTTGAAAGTTCAGGTAGTACTCCGGGTCTAGGTATCCAAAGGACCCCTGAGCACATGTTGTAACGTGACTTGATTCGGCCACGGCCAGTCTTGACAGTCCAAAATCAGCAACTTTAGCGTTAAGCTTTTCATCGAGTAAAATGTTGCTTGATTTTACGTCGCGGTGGTAAATCCGTGGCGCAACTGAATCGTGGAGATAGGCTAGTCCTTCAGCTGTTTGATGAGCAATAGTAAGCCTCATACGCCAAGTGAGTGAGACCCTATTAGCAGTGTTGTAATTTCCATGGAGATGTTCGAAAAGGGTACCATTTGGAATGTACTCATAGATTAAAAGTGGCTGTTCAAGCTCAAGGCAACAGCCCATCAATCTGACTAGGCTTCTATGGCTCACTTGACATAGAATTCGAACTTCGTTGAGAATTTGATCCATGCCTTTGGTGTTCCCGGGCTTGGCTCTCTTTACTGCAGTGATAGTTCCATCATCTAGAACACCTTTGAAGACCTCACCAAAGCCACCGGCACCAAGAACTTTATCTTTGGAAAAATTGTTGGTTGCTCTCGTGATTTCTTTGCCTGTGAAGAGCTTGGCTGATTTTCCGGTATTATTGTTTGCATTTAACATGTCTTCCCGGGACTTGGTCAAGCTAAAATGTGTTGCTCTGGCAATTTTCTTTTCGCGTTGCTTGTAGACTATGAATGCAAGTGAGGCTCCAAGTATCATTGCAACGGCAGCAATGATCAAGCCTATGAAGAAAATATAGAAAAGATCACTACCAGTTATTCAATGACAAACGGTATAAATTAATTTCTTATGGGGTTAATGCTTGCCTCCAATGAATGAAGCTAGTTTCATTCTCAGTTTGCAGGGCCTCCAATTCGGACATTTGAGGTCTACACAAAAACACAGGACTGTTAGCTTATGAGTTGCTAATGGAAGATGGCAGGTACTTATATTTATAACTAAATATCTCAGTATAACTAAAAAAACAAAGGTTCATACCGACTTGTTAAATTATAATTTGTATGCAAATAGGAATATTGACTCGTTAAATAGTTAAATATAAGTAGTCAAGTTTTTTTCATCTGGATATTTCTTCCAACTCCATTGCTGATGATTTTACTGGGAAATTATTTTAGGAGGGTTTGGTCAAGCAAATTATGAGAACAAATTCTAACAGGGCAGCTAAATTTTGTATTGGTCTCTTCTAAGTCTAAGTTGTATAACACGGTATCATAGATTATAAGGTTACAATCTCTGGCTTTCTTCTGTTAGTGAAAATATAAAATTTCATAATAATTAATTTGCTTAGTTATTTATACCATTTATGTTTATGAAGATTTTCAAAATGAATCATAGAATTTCAAAATTTTCTCGTTACACATTTGAAATATCAATAATGTAATCTGTCAGTTTGCCTTCGGTTTCTGAGGTGCATAGAAGCCACAATTGCACTAATATGACCAAACTATGTGAATTGGTCCATGTAATGCAAACGTGGCACCCACTTCGACCCTAAAACCGACCTCATGATTGCCACATCTTTGAGAAAGTCAAATAGTAAAAGAAAATTAATATGATTTGATAATATCAGTGCAATGAGAAAATATTGAAACATCAAAACTCATTTTAAAAATCACCTGAATATTATAAAATATAATTAGCTTCAATAATTCCTCTTAATGTGCTTTGATCAGCATATAACATATTAATTAAACATTTTGCAGATGAGCCAAATAGGATATGAACATAAAAGAAAAATAAAATCTACTTTGGAATGCTAAATATCTAATGATCGCAGTGCTACAGTACTTGTCTTGATTCAAATTTATATAAAAGAATACAGTCAATATATTCTGTGGGCACTCTTATTAAAACCAGCGCATGTGGAGTATCCAACACATGTTAGCCAACTGTATTCCAACCTTAGTTTTCATCTAATTAATAAGTTAATTTCCTTATACCTTGTTTAATTAAACCTGAAAACGGAGTTATGAATTGACTTGACGATGATGAAGATGTCAAACATTCGTGGATGGGACGAGGTAGGTCATCGTGACTTGGGGAGAAACTTTGGATTTTCCCATGAGGGAACTAGTTAGTACCATAATTAAAGCAAAACGAAGGGAAAAGAGACACATACTTTGACATATTGCATTGATGGGGTCCCATTGAAAACCAGTCTTGCACAAGCACCTTCTTTGTCCACTCCGATCTACCAAACACTCCGAGTTAGACAAATCACGACAATCGACTGAAACCTTGCACTCCGGCTCCCGCGGTGACTCCCACATTATCTCCACCCCAGGCTCAGGCCAACTGTTCAAAGGCCCAGAAAAAGACTCCAAATTGACAAAACTCTCATAAGCCGAACACCTTTCCTTCATGGCCCTAATTTTGTAGGCATTGGTAGACCCACCAGTCTTGAATAAACAACAAATCCGGAAGCACCCGCAAGCGGAGGCAGCCATTGCGTTGTGCTTAATGTAGTCATGGCATAAGCTATTCGATGAGCAGTTTTTCGAGAGAGTAAGCATTTCATACGAACAGTTCATGCCTATCACTGTGTTGCTGCTGGTGATGTTGAAAGGGAGGTTGTCCTCAAGTATTAGGCCTTGGGATTTAAAGTCGGCCGACATGCACGTAACGTTGTTGGCTAACCCCGGCGGCTGGATAATTAGACGCCGGGTTAGTGGGTTAATTGATGTGATTAAATATGATGAGCTGTTGAGGGCGTCAAACCACAGTGACCCTGCATGGCATCGGACTTTGTAGTGCTGGTTTCCGCAGTCTGGTGCCGTGCTTAGCGGGTAGGGTACCGGAGTGTGGCCGCAGTCCTGGCAGCGCTTTACTGTGGCTAAGTTTCGTCCTGTACAGCATAACATTGAAACTGTGAGAATGAGAAGGGAAACTAGTCTGTTTTCCATTTGGTTTGTAGATGGAGGAAAAATGGTATATGCTTATGTGACTAGAGCGTATTAATTTGGGATTCTGAGGCTGAGCAGTCACACATTTGTTTACTTCTGCTATAAAATATAAGCTGGTATTGTACTTGCGATTGTTTCTCATAGGTAACAAAAGGGCTCCTCGGTTTATTTTGTGGTTACAATGACCTTAAAATTTTAAGGTTTAAATAAAAGCCGTAAATGTTTACGGCGAAGATTCTTATGTTCAGAAATGAGTAGTGCGTAGAAGTTGAACTTTAACTAGGTGGTAACCTAATGCTCGTGATCAGCATGTTTTATGTAATATAGTATCATTTGGCATTAAATCAAATAAGATACACTAGGAACGTTCTCATCTTTTTCCAATCCAAATATCATTTATTCATAATTTAGACATAAGAGTATTGCATGC